ATCTGCATCGTTTGTGAACCTTTGATGATTGGAGTTCCTGTAATCTCTTCTAACTGAGACATGAGAAAAGTGACATCGTACGATAAGTTGTGGAAATAAACTAAACTCTTATCTGGTAAAGCTTCGAGGAATTTTGACGCACAGTCACTTCCCCAAATTGATGTATAACCATCATCGTCATCTTCCATGAAACAAATGTTGTATGCTTTGTGAATGTTTCCATCAGTTGATGCTTCGAAGTCAGCAAAGAAAACATGTTCTCTTGGGAACTTCATGTCTTTCTTCGTCTCTGAACTCCAATCTTTCTTCATCCTTGCGCAATAACGCTCATTGTATGTGAGGTCAATCATTTCTTCAAGGTTCTCATTATACATCGTTGTGAAGTATGTGCAAAGTTCTCCTGTTCTAATTGGTTCGAAATAATTGTTAGCATGTTATATACGAAAACGATAAAAACGGTTTGACAGAAAAGTGACAACTTTACGTGTCAAAAATAGAAAAAGTGACATTTATTCGTAATATTAAAATGAATCATCATAATCTTCTTCATAAGGGTCTTCATAATCTTCTTGATATTCTTCTTCATATTTTAGTTCGTATTCTTCTTCTTCATTACTATCTTCTTCTATTTCAACCGGATTCGCCTTATTTTTTTCTTCTTCAACTTCCTCGCCTTCTTTTTCCCATTCATCTTCTTCGCTTCCTTGGAGCTCTGGCATTTCATTGGCCATAAGTGAATCTGGAAGAAAATCTTGAGAGATATTATTTCATACAATACTACTCTCACCCTCCAATTCCCAGCCAAAATGGCTAAAAATTGCCCGCAATTGTTCACATTGCGGGCAATTTTTAGCCATTTTGGCTTGGAACTAGAGCCTGCGAGGTACATGGATAGTATCAGTACCTCACAGGCTCTAGTTCTCTATATGGCGCCGAGAAATTTTGGTGAAATGTGGTCGCATTTCACCAAAATTTTTTCGGCGCCATAGGATGAATTGGAGGGTGAGAGATATTATTTCATACAATACTACTCTCACCCTCCAATTCCCAGCCAAAATGGCTAAAAATTGCCCGCAATGTGAACAATTGCGGGCAATTTTTAGCCATTTTGGCTTGGAACTAGAGCCTGCGAGGTACATGGATAGTATCAGTACCTCACAGGCTCTAGTTCTCTATATGGCGCCGAGAAATTTTGGTGAAATGTGGTCGCATTTCACCAAAATTTTTTCGGCGCCATAGGATGAATTGGAGGGTGAGAGATATTATTTCATACAATACTACTCTCACCCTCCAATTCCCAGCCAAAATGGCTAAAAATTGCCCGCAATGTGAACAATTGCGGGCAATTTTTAGCCATTTTGGCTTGGAACTAGAGCCTGCGAGGTACATGGATAGTATCAGTACCTCACAGGCTCTAGTTCTCTATATGGCGCCGAGAAATTTTGGTGAAATGTGGTCGCATTTCACCAAAATTTTTTCGGCGCCATAGGATGAATTGGAGGGTGAGAGATATTATTTCATACAATACTACTCTCACCCTCCAATTCCCAGCCAAAATGGCTAAAAATTGCCCGCAATGTGAACAATTGCGGGCAATTTTTAGCCATTTTGGCTTGGAACTAGAGCCTGCGAGGTACATGGATAGTATCAGTACCTCACAGGCTCTAGTTCTCTATATGGCGCCGAGAAATTTTGGTGAAATGTGGTCGCATTTCACCAAAATTTTTTCGGCGCCATAGGATGAATTGGAGGGTGAGAGATATTATTTCATACAATACTACTCTCACCCTCCAATTCCCAGCCAAAATGGCTAAAAATTGCCCGCAATGTGAACAATTGCGGGCAATTTTTAGCCATTTTGGCTTGGAACTAGAGCCTGCGAGGTACATGGATAGTATCAGTACCTCACAGGCTCTAGTTCTCTATATGGCGCCGAGAAATTTTGGTGAAATGTGGTCGCATTTCACCAAAATTTTTTCGGCGCCATAGGATGAATTGGAGGGTGAGAGATATTATTTCATACAATACTACTCTCACCCTCCAATTCCCAGCCAAAATGGCTAAAAATTGCCCGCAATGTGAACAATTGCGGGCAATTTTTAGCCATTTTGGCTTGGAACTAGAGCCTGCGAGGTACATGGATAGTATCAGTACCTCACAGGCTCTAGTTCTCTATATGGCGCCGAGAAATTTTGGTGAAATGTGGTCGCATTTCACCAAAATTTTTTCGGCGCCATAGGATGAATTGGAGGGTGAGAGATATTATTTCATACAATACTACTCTCACCCTCCAATTCCCAGCCAAAATGGCTAAAAATTGCCCGCAATGTGAACAATTGCGGGCAATTTTTAGCCATTTTGGCTTGGAACTAGAGCCTGCGAGGTACATGGATAGTATCAGTACCTCACAGGCTCTAGTTCTCTATATGGCGCCGAGAAATTTTGGTGAAATGTGGTCGCATTTCACCAAAATTTTTTCGGCGCCATAGGATGAATTGGAGGGTGAGAGATATTATTTCATACAATACTACTCTCACCCTCAATTTTAATTACTTAAACTCATTCTATTTTTTTGACATGTAAATGTCACTTTTACTGAGATCTGACACAATGTCAGATCTCTTTTTTTCGTATATAAGAAGCAAACAAGAGTTCAATGACTTTTGCAAGTGGTGTAACTAACTTTGAGTTAATTGCATACCTTGTTTCATATCTTCTGTTAACTAACATCTTCTTCTCTAAAGTCCAATCCTTGCACAACTTACAAACATCTTCATAGTTCTTGATGAACATTGAACTTATTGGAAGCTTTTCGTTCAACATGTAGTGGTCATACATTAATAAAAGTTCTACTGTCATCTTTGGTTCTTCATCTGGTTCATAAGTATATGAATGATTTGAATACTTCTCGTTGTATTTGATGACATGGAACCTTATTCCTGTTTCTTTGGCAATAACCTTAATCTTTGACATTGGAAAATCTTTGACACGAATGATTTCCCTCATATGATTAATTGTTGCTTCGTCAACACCAGCTTGAATACAAGCGTAGATGAAACATGAATCTTTCATCATCTTCTTTGCTGTCTCTGCATTAAGTTCGTTGAAGATCTGATACCTCTCTAAGTTAATAGGTAATTTGCATGTCCATGTCCAAAGCTGACCATTACGTGACCTGTTTCTCTTCTTTGAATGGTTTTGTTTGATGATCTTGAGTGCGATCTTTTCTTGACCTGCTGCTCTCATCGTATCTAACATAACTTGTTCTTCAGCTGTGAGTTTATATGGTGTGTACGTTCCTTTTCTCAAAGCAGAAGCATCAACATCTGAATAAGCTGTATAGTCAAAGATCTCGATCTTCCTTAACGAAGGAATACTACAAAGGAAGAAGTCATAGTTTGATTCAAGGACTTTAGATGCTAATTCTTGTACTTCTGCTATTGGAGCTTCATTAAGTAACTGATGAACTAATGATCCCATTGTATTGATGTTCAAATGACGCAAAATGTTTCTCTTCTCATCAAAGTCGTAATAGAATGTCCACTTCTGTTTGAAAAGGTCTATCTGTCCAATGAACTTTGCCATAACTCTTGGAAACATCTTGTTGAAGTAATCTTTTCCTCTTGGACTGTATTGGTCAATGTTAAACATAATGAATCTTTCTCCTGCTTTAGTTATTGGGTCTAACCATTTCTCATCAGGAAGTTTTTGACCATTAATGTTCTTAACAACGTAAAAGGCATTCTGTATTTCTTTGTATGCTAATTCGCTCTCATCAATCTTTGGTGGAGGGTCTGAGTATATTGGTTGCATCTCCATTAACGCTCTATTATGAGATCTCTGATCGTGATCTAAAGCAACTGGGGAATTTGAAGCTGGAACATTCATGATACCATTGTAGTCATCATAGAAGCTCTTAGCATTCTTGAAAATATCTGCTACACTTCCTGTACCTCCTTGATTCTTAATTGCCAGAGCTAATTTATTGGTAATGTCTTTAGCTTTCTTAGGCATTTTGATCCCAAACATATCAAGCATACCTTTCTTATCTTCTGGTGAAAGGTTATTAACTAATCCTTTTATAGCATTGAGCATGTTGGTCTTTTATAACCGATAAAAAAATATACGTTATTTTTTTTTAATCGTCATCGTAATCATAATCGTACGAAGATTCTGTATCATCATCACTGACATCATTGGTTTCTCTAACTTCTGGCTTATCTGGTTTAATCTCTATCACCATAAACATTGGTGACAATAATCGAACAGGCTGATCTTGGAAGTCAACTAAGGTAAACGTAACATTAGTTAGTTCCCATGGAAATGCATCTATCCATGGTGAGGATTCCTTACATATAAGTGGTTTACCAGATATCCAGAACTCATTGATGTTATAACATGTAGATCTGTACATGATCTTTCTTCGATCATCAACTTGGTCAATATTATTGAACCCAGAGATGACAGACATTGATGAACGAAGGTATAACTGATACCCGAAGTTGAGCATAGGTGGTTTTGGCATTTGTAGATAATAATTATGTACAATAGGTAGTTCTATTCCATATGCACCTAAAATAAGATTTGCTCTATGTGAAGCATCTTTTAAATAGACTTTATGTCCTTTGTCCTGTGACGTAAATATAAGTTGATTCGTAGCACTCAGTGAAACTGTTACATTATGTTGACCTTTTTTCTTGTTATAATAATCAAACTGTTTTGTTACAATCTCTTGTAGTTTTGATACAATAGTATCCATATCAAATGAAAGAGCTGACTTAAATGTACACACCTTTTCTTCTCCATCTTCGTCTAACTGTAAGACAAAATAATCTGTTTCGTCACAAACAATAAAGTTCGCCATAGTACTGACACTTTTTACTCTCATCTTTATCTTACTTGGATGCCCCATGTTAGGATCTGCTTGAAACTGTATTGTCCCGTAGTTATTAGGATCAGTCGATTGTAGATAATACATCATTTTTATATGTAGTAAAAGAATGAGTGTTGTTCCATATGCATATGAATGTTATAAGTCTAGCGTACTTCAATATAAAGAATATACTCTCAGAATTACTGATAATGCTTTAGTCATACATAAAGAAGGTGCTGATGAAGACATTACCATCGGTCCTGGTATATTACCTATCGAGCAACCAGATGGTACAATTGTTGAAACAGACTTAAATCAATACCTTCAAGCGTTACAGAATCGTGTGACAAAAGTAGAGAATAATTACTTAGATGCTCCATTCTTCACAACTGATAGAGATTATATGTTTTCATGTATGGCGAGTAATGGTTTGCAAGAAACTCGTGAGGTAAATATTAATGAAGCATTAGAGACTATAATATATCATGTTAAACGGTTATTATCGATTGACCATGGAGTTCATTTTGACCCAAGGTCTACACTGTTCAATATACCAATGATTGAAAACAGTCAATTAACATTTAAAGAAGATACATTGTATAATGCTTTAAACGCAGCATTTGCTTATATATTAGGTCATGAACAAGTACAAAATAGTGGTATTGCAATATACTTAGATAAAGTTATGTTAAAGAAACCATTGACATTCACAGAAGATGGTCCAAAAGCAACTGGTATTGTTGGTGATGGAACATTATTGACGAAAGAATACTTAGCAAGTCATGTCGGAGAATTTTTCTCCACTAATGATAGCATCAGTACAACACCAGAAGTTATTTTATTGAAGAAACCAATCACATTTGATGTTAAAGGAAAGACAAAAGCAACTGGTATAGCTGGCGATGGAGTTCTTCTGACTAAGGAATACTTGAAGAAAAATATCAATGACTTCGTTGAAATTGTCAAAGATAAAGAATCTGGTCTTAAGTTCAACCCTTTATCATTCATCTTTGCCATAGCAAACGCCGGTGCTACTGCAGCCTCATGGATATCACTCCAGAGTCAAATAAATGCTCTTTGGGCTTTTGTTGAAAGTCAAGAAGGTATAGATACTGTTCTTGACACTCTGGGTAATCTTGGTCCAAATCATAAAGGAGGTTTTGTGGATGGAATAAAAAATTTAGTTGAAAAGACTAAAACAAGTTTCCAGAAGATAACTCATATAGAAAGATTCAGAAATGAAGGTTATATGGAACTTGAGAGTTTTGATGTGACTGGACCTTTGGAACCAATTCCAATGCCACGTGATGCTAATGATGAAGAAGAGAAAGATCCTGGACCAAAAACAATCATTTCTACGTTAAGTACTTTGTACCCTGATTTTGTGACCTTAGTGAAAGTTGCTAATACATCAAGAAAGAACAATAATATTAATATGTCTGGTACTGATGACCTTACTGATTATCTTTATCTCATTCTTGCTGAATTAGCGAAGAAAGTTGAGGAGAACAAAAATAATGGAGGAAGAACTGCACTTAAGATTGCAGACAAAGCTGACAAAAGTTATGTTGACGAAGAGATACGTAAAGTTGCATCTAAAGAATATACTTTATCACAGTCTGTCATACTTAAGACAATCAAAGGTCCAGAGAAAGATATGTACCCAGGTGATGGTACAACAGTTAAAGTTAATGAAAGAGTTTCATTCCCATCTGGTATTGATACAAAAGAAGTATATATTAATGGTGAAAACATCAATACAACATTGTTTCCTTTGAAAAATAATGAGTTCACTGAACCTTTGACAGTTAAATCAATTCGTTCAAGAGAAGACAAACCTGTTATAATCAATAAAATAGGAGCTGATAATGACCAACCAGTTCAAATCAAGAAAATAAGAGCTGATGACATTATCTTGAACTATACTTTAGGTTCAAGTGCTCCACAAGAAGATCCAAGCACTAGCGTAAAAGATACTCTTAACAGTTTAGATAGTAAATGTACGAACATTGAAGGTCATGCCAGAAACTTCGAAGTATATGAACTACCAGCAATGTTAGATAAGAAAGCTGACAAGAACCATGTTCATTATATAAGTTCAGATGAACAGATTATAACGGACTACCACGGATATTTAACACAGGGTGAAAAAGTGAATACGAAAAATGTTAATGAAAGAAGATATAAATTCATTCGTGCTAAAGGTTATGACATACACTGTACTGTACAGTATGACACAGGTATAGCACCACAATCATTTGGTTATAACGCTGAAATTTATGCTTCATACTTCTTTGTTAACGGTGTATTAGTTGAGCCAAGATTTAGGTTGAGAGTTAAGGCAAAAATAACCGTTGAAGATGCTATTAAAAGTAAAGCTGACAAAGATGAACTTGACGCAACGAACAAAGTTTTGAAATCTCATAAACACAATATCTCCGACATAAATTCACTTCAAACTTCTTTAGACAACAAAGCAGACAAAACTTATGTTAATGAACAGATCTCAAAGATCTCTAATGCATCTGTAAACAATGGAATACCTGAAAGCATTACAGTTAGCTTTGGTAATAATGATATGGGTAAAGTTGCAATATTTATAAATTATAACATTGGTCCATCAGAAAAAGGTCCAAGTTACTATACATTGAGTCATGGTAAATCTATTGAACTTGTGTTCCACAAAAAAGATGGAACAAACTTAACTATTCATCCTGGAGATACGTTTGAGTTTTATTTGAACGATGTCACCACAGTAGATTATACTTATAGACCTTCTAACATGTTTGACATGATGTATCCAATTGGTTCTATATTTACATCAATGAGCTCAACAAGCCCGCAAACCCTTTATGGAGGTGTTTGGCAACCGATTGTTGATCAGTTTCTTTACTGTTCTAACTCATCAATGGACTTTGGTGGTTCAAAGACTATCAGAGTTGAAAACCTTCCACCACACTCCCATAGGTTCAGTGCAACAACATCTACTAATGGAGAGCATTCACATTCAATGACAAAAAGAGGTTATACAAATCTTGCAGCAGGTTCTGATAGACAAGGTATGAATAGATATGATATCACAGATGACCCTAGAGATGTTAGTACAGGTATTTTCTGCGGATCTGCAGGAAACCATACTCACACAGTAGCTGGAATCACAGATGCAACAGGAAAAGGTCAAGACTTCTTACCACCATTTATGACTGTATTCGCTTGGTTCAGAGCTGCTTAACTCAAGATCACGATCACAAACTGTTTCTCAGTATGAATGAGTAGCTCTATTTTTACATCATTACTGAAGTATTTCTTTTCTTCATCAATGACAGAAAGAATGTTTTCATCATCTTTTAAAGATCTTACCAAAGTTAGATCTTCATCAGAAAATCTCAAAGAAAGACTCATTTATGCACTAATAAAAATATAGCTAATTATTTTTTTATCTGAACTTTTTATCGGGTATATAAAGATGTCTGAACATCATATAAAGTTCTTTAAGATCCAACAGTTTGTAGATGAAGTGAAGAAGCAAAATAAAACAGCAAAGAGACTACTTATATGCTTACCACAAACATTATGTCAAGGAAAGTATGGTTATAGTGCAAGTCCGATCATGATCTTTGTCGATAAGCAGAAATACACAAATGAAGGTTTAGCTAATTTACTCAAGTTTGAAAAGATAGCTATAAACATTCCTGACCATTTCTCAGCGAGAATAAACCTTGACAAGACTAAAAGTTATTGTTTATATGTAGATCTCACGAAATCAACAAAGAGTAAAGACAAAGAATATAACCCAGTTGAACTTAAGACAATGGGTAAGAACTTACTCAAAGCTGCTATCAAACCTGTCGAAGAGATCGACATTGAGGATGAAGCAGAAGAAATAGATGTAGATCCTGAAGTGTTATAAACGATAAAGTTTATTTTTGGAGGAAGATGGTGTCAGACCATTTGATCTGGCATGCTTGTTCTAGGTAATTGCAGAAACCTGGAAAGATTGTTATTGGTCTGAGTTTCATACCTGGTCTCTCATCTCTCCATTGAAGCAAGTAAATTTACATGAAGAGTTCGTCTGGATTCTCAGGCTTTGGTACACACTGATCGAAGATCTGTATGACCTCTTCATGACCGTACTCCCTCTGGTCAGACATGAGTGTTCTGAAGAACTTTTGCATCTTCGGACCAGGTTTAGCATCTATGCAACGAGTGGGTCTCATTGACATTTTTGTCACTTTTATTTGGTCGAATGGAAGGATTCGAGTTCATGCCACTTGACAGCAAAGAAGGTGCAGAAGAGGTTGTTGTTGCTGCATTCTATGCGAGCTCACACGTTGACGCATTCCGAACTTACCAGGATGACCTCGAAAAAGAAGGTCGAAAGCTTGGAAAGATCCAAATGTTGCTTGAGTTCTTCCGTGGAAACCTTGCACAGAAGTATGAGAAGAAAGAATAAACAACTAATTATTACTGAGCTTAGCTCATAAATGTAAGTTTTTACTCTGATCAGATCTTAGATCTCGTCGGGACAAGCGGAAAGGATAAAGTCCATGAGCTGGACTTTTGTCTTAGTGAGCGGTACTGCGGTCATGAGTAGTTCGCGCTTGTTTGAGCCACTTGGAACGCGACCCTTCCAATTCCTCATAGATCTCAAGGCAGAGATCGTGAAGAACTCAAGGACAAAGAGTCTTTGAGACTTGGTAAGGAATCCCTCATCATCTCTTTCATCCTGGAGGGTCTTTGTGGATGCAGTGGACTTGATCTCGTCTTCCTCGATCGGATCATTCTCATAATCTTCATCACCCTTCTTCCTAAACGTCATCTGCTCTCTCTTGTAGTCGTTCCTGAGAGCATTGAGTCCAGCTTCAAGATCTTGTGAGTTCTTTGCAGGTTTATTGAAAGTTTTCTTTTCCTGCATTTGCTGTATAAGCTGGGTTTGCTGTTGCATCATCTGCATCATCATTGCCATCATATCTAGTGTTGGTGATGCTGGAGCTGGTGTTGTACCATCTTGGGACATTCGGTCGTCGGTTATGTCTTTACAAAAGACTGCTTTACAAAAGACAGCTTTACAAAAGACAGCTTTACAAAAGACAGCTTTACAAAAGACTGCTTTACAAAAGACAGCTTTACAAAAGACGTCTTGACAAAAGACAGCTTTACAAAAGACTGCTTTACAAAAGCATTTTCTCACAAAATTGAATACTTTTGCTTTACAAAAGACGTCTTGACAAAAGATTGCTTTACAAAAGTCTGCTTTACAAAAGACGTCTTGACAAAAGATTGCTTTACAAAAGTCTGCTTTACAAAAGATTGCTTTACAAAAGATTGCTTTACAAAAGTCTGCTTTACAAAAGACAGCTTTACAAAAGATTGCTTTACAAAAGCCATGACTGATCTTCATCCAATTTGTTTAATCGAACTTAATGAAGTAATTTCTGCATATCTCCTGCATGTATTTGGAAACGAGAGGATAAGACAACTCACCAAGGTTTCCAGACGCCAGATCCAAAGACTTGAATCAACTGCAGGAGTAATCCTAAGCTTTGAAGAAGGATTAACCAATAAGAAAGATGTCATTGACTCCAAGCGTGAAAGCCTTGCTGCTTTCTTACGCAAACACCCATGGGTCGATGTTGATCTCCAAACTCCTTACCAAGGACTCGTTGAAACCTTCACGACCTACAGACAGCTCCTTGACAGACCTGAGCAGAACCTTCTGGTCGAACGTGATGGCACATTAAGCCCTACAGACGAGTCAATCCAGAGAGAAGAAGCTCAAGAGTAAAAATCTGACATTTATACTTTACATGACATTTTTTTCATGAGTGTTCACGTTAAGATCAATGATGAAAACATGACTTCATGGGAAGATATCATTGATGACATAGAGAATGACCTTGATGAAAACATGATGGGAGCTCAAACGTCAGTTAAGGTCAAACTTGGTGAAGTTCAAGAAAAGATCTCCGAGATCAATGCAAAAATATCTGCTCTTACAGAGGTTGACGTTTATTACAGAAGCTTGGAGAGAACTTTAAGCAAACTTGAACGTCAGAACCAAAGTCTCATAGTTGTGCTCCAGAAACTCAGTCTCATGCGTAAAGCATATAATGACTACCTACATGTAAGAGACTTACCTTCTTATTCTACTCCAGATCTCGACTTTTCCGATATAAGTCCAATCCTTATTGATACAACACTTACGATAGCAGGGATGCTTCCTACATATCCAGAATATGATAACTTACCTCAGCTCTTCGAGTATCTCAAGAAAAAGTTCATGATCTTATTATGCGAGACCATGAAAAGACGTCAAAATACCAGAACAGAACGAGAACAGAGCTTACTAATAGACTTATTATATAATACTAAAGAAATAAAGGAGTTTTTATTCTAACTTTGGTATTTTTGGGAAGAACTGATCTGGATCATATTTGTCAACCACAGGTTTTGGTATCAAAAGTCTCTCTGGTTCTTGGACGGCTGGTACTGGAAATGGTTCCTTTGGTTTCCTAGCTTTTGGGAGATCTAAAAATTTTCTTGGTCTCTTTCTTTTGTGTAAGTGTTGTCCATTTTTATCGACAACGAATGTGAGCTTTCCGTCGTCAAAGATGAATGTCGTCGCTTCTTCAGTTCCCTCATCAACTATTATCTTCTTGATCTTTCTCTTCTCCATTAACAGAAAAAGTGACATATATTACTTCATTATTTTTCTGAGTGTTAGGATTAATTAAACCTCTATCTATAACATGCTTTCTCATAGGAAATTTCTCTCCATATCTTTTTGTCAATATCTCTATAAGTTCTTCTGTATAAGATTTATCACTACTGAAGTAAATAGATGGATAATTAAGGACATCAAAGGTTTCTACAGTATCTTTAAGAGTCCATTCATCTCCATACTGTATAGAATAAGTATGGAAGTATGGAGGATCACATATAAAGAAAACATTGGGAAGATCTTTATACTCATTGAAGAGTATTCTCCAATCTTTATGAACAATAGTTAAACCTTCAAGATAGTCATCTATGTTGTTTTCACCAAATAAGTTAGTATATCTGAGGTATAACACTTTCTTCATTAATGTGTCAAGATCATAGTATTTGTATGCTCCAGAATAGAGAAGACGTGAACATAATGTATCCCAGTCTATGTATGGAGCTTTACTTATAACTTCTCTGACGATCTCTTTCTGATCAGTAGGAATTTTCTCATCTGGCTTAACATTTATTCTCTCCTTAAGTTCCTTAAGTATTTCATTCGTGTCATGAATGTGTTTCAGTCTATCAACGTAGTTATCATAGTCGTTAGCTATGATCGTTGCTTTTGGGAACATAATATGCAACAGATGAGAGATATAGAGAGAACCACCAAATAGGTCAACGAAGACATAATCCCCTTTGATGTCTTTGAGTATGTCGATAAGATCTTTCCTGATCTTCGACTTATTACCTATGAAAGGTAAAGGAGGTTTGGTAAAAATCATTTATATGGTAATAAAAATAAGTGTTTACTTGAGACAATAACCTCTGTTGAGTTTGTAGAACAAGATCAGAAGTACGATCAAGTTCAAAACAACACAAATGGCTAGGATTGCGTTACCAACAATCTTTGTCTTTTCCCAGCAAGACTTCTTCTTTGGTTCATGTGCTGCTTCGACATCACTGTATGGCTCGGACATTAACTTAAAAAGTGTCATGACCACTTCATTTTTGATGAAGTCAACAGCTTATGTCCACTTCCTCCCACAAGCACTTGAGGGACAAGAGAAGGTCATCATTGACTACCTTCAAGCCACTGAGAAGCTCCAAAAGCTTCAAGATCTCCGCGAAGAGTTCAAGTCCCGCTTGAAACAGGAGAACTTACTGCAGGAGTACATGCTCATCCTTTATACACTCATTGATGGCTCCCATTTACCATCAGAGTACACTGCAGTTCTTGATGCACTCAAAGATCTTCGCGAACACCAGCCGATCGGTAAAGAAGCCTTCGAGCTCACCATTGAGCAAGCCATCTTCGCCAAGCACAATGCAAAGAAGCAGATGCTCGAAGCTCTTGACAAGATCAAAAAGTACGTCGAAAAGTACTAAAAATAATTACTTGAGTAAACGATAAGTTTTATTCATTGTTTCTCTTTTCAAGATATTCTTTCATCTTGACGTTATATTTTCCTAACTCATACAAGAACGTGTAGTATGAAACTTCAACCTCACGATGCTTTTCATACCATTTCATTATGAACATGGTAAGAATTGCTTCTTCGGGATTTGAGAAGGGATCTTCTTCACCAAATACGTTGTGATGAACTCTCATTGCTTTACCTACAGATATTGGTTCATCTTCCTCAGCAATTAGGTCAAAGAACCTTTGTAGTCTTTGGCTCATTGGAAATGTCACTTTTCGGTTAAACGATCACATACTTAAGACATAAATTATACCTACTTATTAACTCAGTATATTGTGCATTATATGCATACTTAAACTCTTGAGCAATATTGTTCTCATCAATGATTCTGATCTGAGCTATTTTTGAGAAAGGTGGTGGAATACCACAACATGTGATGTCTGGGTCCAGTAGGTCTATTTCACACTTGAACCCAGTCATTCTGTGAACAACTTCTTCCAAGTCTGGCTTAGGTAGTAAGATCTGATCTTTGCTCACTAAGTTAGAAAAGAGCTCTTTGTCTTGGTCTAGAAGTATCTTCTGGTATATACTAAGTAAATACTCTTCTACACCAATCCTCGATGAAGTCTCCACAGATCTCGATGAGGTCAGGTTGGAAGTTAATGGACTTAAAGGAGGAGGATACATTGGTGCTTCTGAGTTCGTAGTTGTTTCCTCTTTTTTTATCTCTGTTGGAGCATCACTTACTGTACCAGATGGATAGTTCTTTATCACAATGTTATTAGTTGTTCTTGAATCAACATTGCTTGTTGGTTCAATTGGAAGATTAGCTGCACCATAAAGAATTGACTTCGATCTCATTTGTTATGAGTAAAAATTGTTTTATTCTCATATAAATGACGAACATTAACCCAGAGAACAACACAGAATATACTGCAACAGGAGTTGTTTACAATGATCTAGATCAGATCGTCCAACTCAAAGCCCCAAGAGGAAGGAATTTAATAAGACAACCTCCACCAAAGATATATGTTGATGATGGTAGTAATGGGTTCAACTTAGTGTATCATTACTCATATCCTCAATATGCAAAAATTGGGTCTACCCCAAACGTGACAAACCATTATATGAACCTTTATGATGAAGCAAGGTTTCATGCACCAACGAAGAAAGAACCTGATGCATCAAGATTACATGAATTCGCAGACCATGATGGTTATAGCGATTACTCAATGCCTGTAAGACTTTAACGTTAATAAAAAAATGACTGTTGGTAAACAAGAAAAAACTTTAATACAAGAGGATTTGATGCTACCAATATATTCAACTGATATGGGAGCTTATCAATTCGATACATTTGAGAATCCTGGTGGAACACCACCATATTTTCTTTTGTTCATCAATGTAAACAGTAGAAAAGGTTATGCGTTCCCAATGAGTGAAAAGAACTCAAACAATGTTCTAAGTGCAATGCAGAAGTTCATTTCACAAGCTACAGGTGAAATGAAGCCTACAATACTTACTAGTGATGAAGACCCAGCTTATACGACACAAAATGTTCGAGATCTGTTGGTCAGTCATAACATTGAGCACATGACGACACAGAAATACAATCATAACATACTAGGTATTATTAATAGGTTCTGTAGAACTATTAGAACTATGTTACATATGAAGTTAAACCTCAAAGAAGGTGATAAAACACCACCTTTCACTGCAGATACAATGAGACAAATTATTAATGACTACAACACTGAATATCATTCAAGCACACAACAAAAGCCTGATGATTTCACAGAAAAGGATAATGAGGAATATATAAAGAAGCAAAGATTGAAAGAAGAGTATGTCAGAAAAAATAACCTTTATAACTTAAGACCTGGTCAAAAAGTTCAAGTCATAGTTGAACCAAGAACATGGGGTAAAGGTAACCAACAAAGAAGACATCTTGATCCTTCTTATTATACAGTTGATTCAGTTGATACAAGTGCATACTTGTTAAGAGCAAAAGATGGAAGTGTTGCAAGATATCCACGTTATCAGATATGGACAAAAATAGAGCATGGATTAAAGCAAGGAGAAACTTTAGATCAAGGAAGACACGGTGCTGTTAAAAGTATTGATGGTCATGAACTTGTCGGTAATGATGTAAAGTATGATGTTACGTTTGAGAACGAAAATACAGGAAAAGTGACAGGTAGAGGTATGCGTGAAGGTAATCCAAACAGGTTGTCACAAATGGAAGTACAGTATTGGAGGAAAAATATTAATGAAGGTCATGTTAAAGATATGCCTAGTTTTCTTGAGAAGTATCGTGGGTTTCGAGTTTAGCTTGTAAGTCCTTTATTTTTGTTTCATACAATGAGATCTTCCTTCTGATCTGTTCATCATTGAGAGGTTGCTTGACTTTACGGAACTGTACACGTCCGTCTTTCATTGTATGTACATAATATCCATCAGGAACCTTACCATCTTTTATATATTCAGTTAACCACTTTTGTTTAGTTGATGCTTTAATGACTTGACTCATTTCTTACTGGATAAATTTTTATGTTTTTTATCTTTTGACGATTTTTTCTTATCCTTATCTTTCTTCTTGTCCTTGTCCTTCTTTGATTTATCCTTCTTCTTGTCCTTGTCCTTCTTGGACTTCTCTGCTGCAGGTGGTGTTGGATTCTGTTTGACTTTAGCACTTGGGTCAGGACCTTGTCTTTGAGACTTAGATATAGATTGTTTAGGAGCTGCTGCTTGTTTAGTTGCTTCAGCTTGTTGTTTAGCTAATTCAGCAGCTTGTTTATCATTCTCTTCTATTTCCTTTGCACCAGTTGCGACTTCATTCTTGAACTTTTGGAGATTCTCAGCAGCATCCATTACCTTATTCGCTCCTTTAAACAATCCATAAAATTTCTGCCATGGTGATACTGAAGGTATATTTCCACCAATTGCTGGAGGAACTGATGCTTCAGGAGTTGGAGATGGTGTTTTGTCTGAATTGAGATGCTTTTCTGCTTCAAGAACTTGTGTAGTATTTTTCTCCAGGTATGCTTTTGCAACCTCCTTAACTTCTGGACGTTCATTATTTACATCCTGTCTTGGTGTTGATGTTTCAGTAGCGTTTTCCTGAGTTACATTAACAACAGGTTGCTCAACTGCTGAAACATTAGCTGCTTCAGTAATGTTATGAGTAGTTGAAACATTTCCTGATATACCTTCTCCTGTTGGAACTCTTGGAGCAATTGTTGTGATGTTCGCCATTGCAGGAGTTGGAGTAGGAGTGTCATCAATCTTTCTGTCAGCTTTCGTCGTTTGCGTTGTAGTATTTGTTGTTTCATTACCATATTTTGATCTTAGTCTGGTAAGCTCTAACTTCATATGTTCTTCAGGATATGCATACTTATTATATTCACCCTTAATATTCTTTTTCCATTCATCGTATTTATCTTCTGCTGATTTCTTAATTGATGCTAGTCCGTTTACAGCCAATTCATCAGTACCGTTATCAGTAGTCTGGTTATATAAAAGATTAGCAGCTGATCTAATTGTGTAATCCGTAAGATTACCAAAACGCTCTATTGTACCTAATGTTGTGTTCTTCAGTTCCTTTCCAATTCCTTGTGCAGCATCTTTGACTAAATCAGCACCCCATGCACCAAATTGTCTCACAGGAGCCGCTATTGATGGTGAAGGAGATGGAGATGGCGATGGAGTTGGTGATGGTGAAGGAGATGGAGATGGTGAAGGAGATGGAGTTGGCGATGGTGTTGCTGCTTTCGCCTTTCTATCAGCTTCTTCCTTAGCCTTTCTATCTGCTTCTTCTTTCGCCTTTCTATCTGCTTCTTCCTTAGCCTTACGAGCTTTTTCTTTCTTCTTAAGTTCCTCTAGTTCTTTACGTTCAGCTTCTTCTTTCGCCTTTCGTTCAGCTTCTTCCTTAGCCTTACGAGCTTTTTCTTTCTTCTTAAGCTCCTCTAGTTCTTTACGTTCAGCTTCTTCTTTCGCCTTTCGTTCAGCTTCTTCCTTAGCCTTACGAGCTTTTTCTTTCTTCTTAAGCTCCTCTAGTTCTTTACGTTCAGCTTCTTCTTTCGCCTTTCGTTCAGCTTCTTCCTTAGCCTTACGAGCTTTTTCTTTCTTCTTAAGCTCCTCTAGTTCTTTACGTTCAGCTTCTTCTTTCGCCTTTCGTTCAGCTTCTTCCTTAGCCTTACGAGCTTTTTCTTCATAATATTTTGTATACTTATCATCAGCCCAATTACCAAGTGATTTGGCACCTGTTAGTATTCCATTTGCGGTTGATGTTGCTGTTCTTCCGAGCCATCCCCCTACCGCTGAAGCACCATTGCCAATAGCACTACCAGCATTTAAAATTCCACGACCAATCCATATCCCTGGTTTTGCCTTTGTATTAAGAGTAAGAAATTCTTCCTTCCTATCTTCAGGTGTAGGATTTGTAACAGTTCTTACAGTATCAACAACAGTGTCAACACTGGTTCCAATAGCACTACCAACAGCTGTTGCACCAGTTAGAATACCATGGGTAACTAAATCAGTAGCTCTTGAGACAACATTATCACTCGAGGCTTTCTCTGCTGGATAGTTTGATCCTTTGTAAGTTCCTGGACCACCTCTATTTGAAGCTTCTCCTTCAACTATTTTCTTCTCTTCTTGTGCTTGTTCTCTGGCAACACTCAATGCACGTTCTTGTCTTTGAATGTTGTCTTTCTTTAACATGTAACCACCAAGTGTCTGTGGTGGTGTGTTTTTATCTAGTGCAGCATCAATTGCAGCCTTTTCTTTTCGCTTTTCTTCGTCTAACCAATTTTGAATAGATTCTGCATCAGTTGGTTCAGCTGGAGTTGGAGACGGTGTTGGAGCTTTAGTTGGTGTTGGAGACGGTGTCGGAGCTTTAGTCGGAGTTGGAGATGGAGTAGGTGCTTTTGTAGGTGTCGGTGATGGAGTTGGAGATGGAGTTGGAGGTACTGTTGGTTCTGGAGTTGGTTCAACAGTCGGTGAAGGTGTTGGCGCCTTTGTGATTCTTGGAGTTGGCTCTGGTGTTCTAATAGGGGAAGCAGTTGGTGTATTAGCTCTTTTAAGAACCTGTGATCTTTCCGCTTGATTTGAATCAGATACTGGGTTAGTTGTACTAGGATGTGATACAGGAGTTATTTTTGGTGTAGGTGTTGGTTTATTTAATGTTATACCATGACTACTCGACATTGGTGGAGGACCTGCGTGAGCAGTTGGTGTCAGAGTTGGCGTTGGAGCTACTGTAGGAGTTGGCGTTGGAGCTACTGTTGGTTCAGGAGTGGGAGTTGGTGTTGGAGCTACTGTAGGAGTAGGTGTAGGAGTTGGTGTTGGAGTCGACATTTGTTTTAACCTCTCATTATACCAATTCTCCAAATAATAAGCCTCACCCATTAAGTTACTCTGTCTTTGTTTTATAGAAAATTCACCTAACAGTAATTCATCATGAATCATTTTCTGCAGCTTTGTCGTGTTTTCTACTTCCTTTATTAGAACGCTCGATGTATTCGCCAATCCTCTATATTCCTTAATCATCTTATCTAGTTTGTTCATATTTGGTACTTCCTTTTTCTTCTCAGCGTTAATCTCATTAGATCGTTTCTCCAATTCTTCAACTACTTTGTAAAGCTTATTTATCTTGACATGTGATTCCTTTACTTCTCCAGTCCTTGGATCCTTAGGTTCCTTGTATTTAGCTAATTTCGTCTCTATATATCTTCGTTTAGCGTCATATCCAGGATCACTGGTTCGTAAAGGATGCGAAGGTGGACGAAAATAAGGTATGTAGAAATCTGGATCATCATTAATAGAAGAACGTGCTTTAAAGTTACGAACCGCGTCTGTAAAAGGGTCTCTACCACGTGCTGTATATGTTGATGTAATCAAAAAGCCTTCTCTTCTCATTGGGAAATTAATACGACCTTTTTGAACATATTCTTTCTCAAAGTATTGCCTAGCATTGTAATCAAAAGCAAGATCATTATATATATCGCGCAAAAAATCAAATGTATGCTGCTTGAACTTTTGATCGCTAATTATGGTACGAATTATCGGACGTTCATTCTCCCATTTCTTAACTCGTTCATCAATGAGTTTCCTCTCTTGTTCACTCATTTAAACCTCATAAAAATATATTATCTGCGTATAGTGCCACTAATAGCATTAATCCATGGCATGTCTGATAGTACACGTACTGACTGAACTAATGGCTTATGATTGTTCCAAATAGCTCCTCCAATGTATGCGTTATACTTATTGTTGTCAATAGTTTGTTGAGGTTGAACTATAGGTGTTTCAACAGGCTTGTCTCTACTGAAGTCACCACCAAGAGCTTTATTGAATGCTTTAAGATTCTTCGTTAATGCATTATCTTCACCTAATGTAGTTTTTGCAATTCTTTCACCAAGACTACCGATAACACCACCGACTTGACCAACTTGAGGGAAAAGTTTGTTAGCAATGTTAAATCCAGCACCTATTACAAGACCAGGATTTTTTTTCACCATACCCCATCCAGCTTTAACATAATCGCCAAAACCCATTTATTTCTTCTTAAAATAATGTCATCTTTTGTTGCTTAACTTCTTTAAAGTCCGTCTTTCCTGCAACTATATGAACTTCCATATATGAACGAGGTGTTGGTAGCTCTTTGTATTTGTTCCATAACTCTTCCCAATCTTCTGTTGCTCCTGACTGTTCAATCATTGACTGAAAGTCTCTCATAGAATAACCTTGAAAGATAACGAAGTCAGTGCATAGTCTCTTAATGTTTAAACATATATGTCTCCATGTTTGACACATGATGACAACAGTATAGTTATAATGTCTGACCTTAGTGATGAAGTTCGCTAATGGTGAACGTGGGTCATTCAATAAGTCATGACCACCATAATCGTCTAACACTAATAGAGAATTACTGGGATACTTTGTGAAAGGATATTTGTTCAACTTCTTTACAACATATATTGCAATCTTCTTATACTCAAACTTTCCATCAGGTTTCCTTAGTTGATGCTTTGTTAAGATGTGTTCCATCTCCTCTGAAATTTTTTCGAACTTACTTTGAACGAACTCAACAATAGCGTAATACTTTGCTTTCATCTTAACGTTCTTCATTAAATAAGGCATAAGTTCTTTATCATCCTTTTTCAGTACTGGTGCTTTAACTTGACTCATAAATGTCTTCGCTGTTTTATCCATTGTTCCTGATGTTGCTGAGATAACTATTGAGTCATAATATGGAGTATTAGTGAAGCGGTCTGTTATCATTATATGACGAATAACACCATATGTCTTACCTGAACCCATCTTACCGCAGTAGAAATAAACACCATTAGTACAAAATGGATAATCATCAGAAAATGGCATAATGAGTGCATTGTTTAGTTCTTTACTATTCTTACGTGCTCCATCATGAAGAATCTTATCTACTTGATTAATAACTTTCTCCATCTTTTAGTTACATATAAAATGTCTAAATATGATGGATTATACTATGAACATGTTATGAATGATGGCACGATAAGTGGTAATACAGTCTCATATAAATTACCGAGAGACTTCATTGAATATCCTGCGTCAAAAGCTCTTGAGATAAGAAAGATAAGTCTTGAGCATCCAGACTTTGAGTTTCTTGCTATTCCATTAGAAATGACAGATTCATCAAAATCAGTGAAAAAAAGGTTTGACATGAGATATTACATAAAACCCAACATGACTACACAGGAGTTGAATGAAGGTCTTATGGAAAAAATGACTGAGGCAAGTAGAGAATTTGTTGATTGTTACTATGATTCAAATGAAAATAAATTGAATGTATTAAGAAAAGGTACATCACCAATCATAACATTACCTTCATACAGTAGTATAGAAAAAAATGCCTTGAATTATAAATATGACATGTCCCTAGGAGATGTGTTGGATTTCATCACTGCGTTATTAGAAACCACTGAAACAGACACAACATCAAGAAAACCAGAGCTTGTTTGGGAAGATGACCATGGTAGAACATTCACGCAAAAAGTAATTCCATCGAAAGCAAAATTTTTAGACTTATGGGAAAAAAAATATATCTCGCGAATGCATGTATATTATAGTTTTACCATAGCAGATTTCACTGACGAAAATGATAAAGATAAAAAAACATATAAGTACTTTGATGAGCTTTTCATAACTATAGCGAATATCAGGTTTATCCTTGAGCGAAAGGGCAAACCAACATATAAATTTGTCGGTTATCAGATAAGAATAAATCCTCTCCTTGAGCCTTTAGTAACGTTGAGTAATATTGCTCATGATAACAAACAATTTATATGTAATGTGAATGAACAGCTTGTGCCACCAAAATTTTACGATATCACTGGTTATAAAGATGCACTCGTGTTTGAGTTTTATAAGCGCTTTTCATTCAAAAGAGTTGAAGAATCAACTGATGGTCAAAAAAAGGAATATTATGTAAAAGAACCATATGAAATTCCTAAAGACTCTAATATAATGGTTGAACTTATATTAGAGTCTGGTACTCAATCTCAACATAAATAGTTTACGTGACAGAATTTTTTTGACACGTAAAGTTTACATTTTAATGGAAGCGAACAACAAAGCTCCTGCTAGTGAATAAAGGTTAGTTTACATATGAACGTTTATTTTTACACATATATGCGTACATATGCGCGCCCGTATGGTGTCAGTTTTCTGTCACTTTTTTCATTGTGTCGGTGACTGTAGCTGTAGGCTACAGGCGACGCACAATGTATACTGTACTCACGTCAATTACATTATCTGACATACACTCAATTTTTTTTGACAAACGAGCTTTATTTTCATGAAAAAGTAATTATAAATCAATATATATCAACTACCTTTTTTGCTGTTAAAATAAGGATATGTTGATATTATGATAACATGTCATACAGGCCTAAGCGCTACTTTAAGAAAAAATACATGTTTCTTCAAAAATAAAAAATAAATCTTTAAAACATGATTTCGTTACTAATAGCATCAACAAATAACAAATTATCATTAATAACAGGTGGTTTCACACCGAAAATTCCCAAGAACTGTTCCACAGCGAACTTATTCAGAGGAATCAAAGACTCATGAGCTTCTCTCGAAACTAATCCAGAAGAAGATTTCGTGTAGACATAAAGAACTCTTGCCATGTACGGTGCAAGTTTTTCTGCGAGTTTCTTTACAGTTTCTTTATCAAATCTGAACAATGTCTTTAGATATTCACCAGAATGCATCTCTTCATTGATGACACTTTGAAGAATTTTCGGTAATTTCTCAATGTGTTGTTCAATGTAGACATCTGGTGATGGTATCCATCTTTGTGTCTCATTTGCAGCTTCTTCTAGTAGTTTAATGTCTGATTCAACCTTCTTTTCACATAATTCTTCCAATGGAACTTGTTTCATCTCATAAACAGCAATATCTGATGACATCTTGTAGAAGGGAAGAGGATTAACTGTCTTAAGATATATAACAGAATTGGTTTGATTAAGGAATTGTGGTTCCGAAACAAATTCATCAAAAAATGTAAAGTTATCGTCTTTTTTAATGGGGAATATCGGAACCAAGCAAGAACCTTCTTCCTTTTCACATTGCGGGGAGTGCACGTGACACATCTTCGGAGGCTTTGGTAATCTACCGTTTTCTGCGATGATTTGAGGCATTTTTTGGTAATATCTGGAATGTAAGCAGAAAACTTGTCTTTTTACATTCATTTTCTCGTCCTTTGTTTCGAGAAGGAAATAAGAAAGAGGTGGGATTATGTTGTTCGTTGCTTTTCCACAATCTGATGAGAAAGATTTCAAATCTTCTGCAATTGATTTGTAATCTCTTGTATTATGATATCCTCTTATCAATAATGAGTGTATCTTATAAAGAGGTTGATACAAACAAGCTTGTCTGCAGAGATTTTCCGCTAATTCTAATTCTGCGATTACAATATCTTCTGTAAAGTCTTGTAATAAGTCCGCTGATACGCAGAGATTCTTAATATTCAAATCTTTCTCTAATCCGGGTATGAAACTTGTGAAATCGCAGTTCAAAAACAAATCTCCGTTTCTTTCGCGAATAGAAGTTCTTCTCATGGTCAGAACTTCAATATCGTCTTCATTTCTGTCGAATTTCTTGCACAAAGCTGAATTAGCCGCTGAACAAAGAGCTACAACGTGCATTTGAGCGACAAAAGCTGAAGAAAAGTCTTCGGCGAGCCTTGCATTAATTACTATTTGGCGAAGCCATTTGACCCTCATACTCGGCATTTCGTAATATTGATCGGCAATTCTCATCAAATTTAATGCGTTGACATCTACAGGATAAACGACATCGCGTTGGCTTACTACGCCTTCTACAACTACGAATGAAGCGTTGATTCTCTCTAAAACGAGCTGGGAGAGCTCACTTGGATGATTATAAGGTCCTTCGCTACTTGAAGCGATATCTTTGAGGATATTCAGCATAAAAGTGAATGTAAAGATATGTGCTGCGCTGCAATTGAATAATTTTGTGGCCAAACAATCCATAAAATCTGTTGATGAGACAACAATCGATTTGTACTTCTCGTAATCACTCTTGAAGGCATAAAGAGTTAATGCTATGCCCAATGATCGCTCATCTTTGGAGTTACTGAGCTGTAAATTGACACAATGAGAAATTACGTTCTTTCTCTGCTCGTGTTGCTGAAAATTCAGGATCATTTCGCCAACAGAATAAATTAGGGAATAATTGGACTTGCTCTGGCTTGGATAAAAGCAATTTCTGAAGATTTCAAAAACAGAATTATCCAAATCTTTGAAAGAATCCTGACAAAGAGATATGAAAGTAAGGATTCTTCGTGTTGCATCATGCAAAAGTTGTAAATTCTTTCCTCTTTTGATATGTTCCAGTATTTGTCCCAAAAAGTTCATAAATTGGATCTGCATTGTAGACAATGAGTCGAAGAAAGCCTTAATGGCCTTGGGAGTGCAATAAGAAATGATGAAAAGAACAGATGGAAAAACTAATTCTGTTATTTCTTTGTTTTTCTTCATGATAGATAAATCGTAGTTGGTGTAAAAGATATGTAGCAACGGGAGCAATGCAGATGCAACCCTTGTTCTCTCTTCTCCGGAGTATTGTTCCGCATTTTGGGAAAATGTCGAAATAATACTTAAGATTAACGATAGAATACTGGGAGTTACGTGGTCAGATTCAAAGGATTTCGAGATAAAATGGAATAAAGGTGAAAGAAATTTGAGATAATTCGAAAATCCGCTTTCTACGTGGGAAATCTTGCATTTGCTCGTTGAGAATTTGCAAAAAGCATCGGATCCAACGAGAACTCTGTAAAATCTGAAAAGTAAATAAACAGAATAATTTGTAGAGTCATTTGCCTTTCTTAAACTCTGTATATGGAAGTATATAGCATCATTAAAGACTTTTGTATCATAACCTTCCAAGATTGTCACTGCTATTTCAGCTAATGAATTATTTAATTTCGTTGTTGGCAAATTTTGGAAGTTTGTGGAGTTGGATTTCACTGCTTTAATGATTACATTCGTGGACATGACCAAGAGAGTTATCAAAATTGAAGAACTTTGCGTAACTCCTTTAGTTTTTAGACAAACATTCAAACATTCGATCAGAAATGCCAAAGGAATGGATACAACCTGAGGATTATGCTGATTATTGATGTAATCTTCGAGAACTTTTGAAAATACAATTGGTATTTTTGTAAATATGTTCTCAAAGTTAGTTGTTGGGTCAAAGAAGTGATTTGCCCATTGTTTCAAGCATGATACAACATTATCTGCTGGGAATAAACCAATAAATTCGACTAATTTTGCTCCTGAGTTAAAATCTAACTCTCCAAGGAGATTTGATATAATAGGAACAAAGTTATCAGCCAATGTTTCAAGTTGGAACTTCGACCAATCAACAGTTGCAAGGTCATGACAAAATTGATTTGCATTTGTTAAATTTTCAGGGGCTTTCACTGAAGCAGATAAAAGAATCTTCTTATTCTTAGGCTTGTCGAGGTATCCTTCGGGTAATTGCGATACTTCAAACACGTTTGCCGTGATTTCTCCTGATCTTGTTGGAAACATGAAGACAGCAGTGCCAATAACCTCTGATTTACCGGAAATCTGAACAACAATATGCATTTTATCTGTTGGAATGCCTTCAAAAAAGAGTTGGAGCTCATCCCGGAAAATTATTTCTTTGTTTGAAGGGATTGAGAGCGTAATGAACAGTTTTTCGAGGTAAGGAGAGTTCGGAGATACAATAAATTGACAGGGTTCACCATCAGGAACAGCCAAAACAAAGAATTTTAGATTAATTAAATCTTCTTTCGGTTGTGTCTTGAAAATCAGTCTGAAATTAGTAATATAAATTATTGGAGGTCTGAAAAGTAATGAATATGGCCTGGAAACTACAACTAAATGTCCGGAATTTTGATTTGAGTATGTAAATGTAAAATCACTGACGCTATCGACAAGGGATGTTTCTATTTCAACGTTTATATCAATAGGATCACGTACTTCTGTTGAAACTATTGCTCGAATAATCGTATCTGTTAAAAAGTCAGTAATTTTAACAAACGGTTTCGAAAAACACTTGTTCTGTATGAAAAATCCATCGCTATCGAATAATTTTATAACAGAAACCGCAATAGGAACTGTAGAAGCTCCTGTTTTTATACAAACAACGCAAAGGAACCTCAATTCAGGTGTATTGTTGACTTCGAAGAATACATATGGATATGCTGTTTGCGTAAACTTGATTTTATCTTTTTGTACTGTAAACCAAATTTTATCACTGTTTGGGATGAATTTGGCGCAATTATATAACTGAATATAACCTAAACAATCTTGTGTGGTATCGTATTCGAACTTCTTTAATGAAATTTTCAGAATTCCAGATCCATTATTAAATAAAGGAGAAGATTTGAGTACATTTTGCTTAATTAATAGCGTGTTAGATAAAACTCTGCTCAAAGGACTAAACGGTTTCGAATTATTTTGAGAATGATTTAATAATGATAAAATTTCAGGTATTTTTACTTCTTGATCTTTGATTGAATCAGGCTGAATTGTGTTTGACTTAACGTCTTCCATAATTTCCTGATCTTCCGAATCTTGCGCGAGTTCTATTGCGAGAGGAGAATATTGATAAGCTTGTCTGAGCCAGTTTTGATTTAAATAGTAATGCGCTTTGGAAAATGCATTAAATAGATTATTCCGTTTATTTGATTCTTGAGAGTTCTCATTATTCTTAAACATTACTAACTCTCGAGAAATCTGACAGAAAATTCAGACATGAGTCAATTTTTTGAATGAATGAATTTTGTTTACATGAAAACAAAAAGTCAGATCAAAAAATATGCGGTACATTTCTTATATTGTTTATAAGCAACTAATTTGACTTTTCATCAAAGTAATTCTCTTTTTGATTCCTTGAGTTGGTGATTAGAATCGAACTACATCTATACAAAGCTCTACATATAGCATTAATTTAACTGAGATCGATCAATTTTGCATAAATTTAATGGTTTCTTCTTATTAACTCTTGAAAATCAAAGAAAGTCTACAACAGTTGTTATCGATCCAAGCCACAGCAAGCTATGGACATTTGACTTGGTACAGATAGAAACACAGAATCCTTTAGGTAAATTTAAAAAAATTCAATATTAAGTATATGGATAAGTAAACAAACAATTATTTACATTTCATTACATCCGGCTACTGCAATGAGTAAAGATTGAATGTGCATCATATTTTATATTATGAGTGATAAATTGAACAGAGTTTATAGTAAATACTACAAAACACTGCAAACTTCCACATAAAAAGACTAACACTCTTTACAAATTCACTGCTATCTGAGAAAAATGTTGGAAAACATTTTCATATTAGAGCTTTGAAGGTTAGGTTATTACATCATACCAATTTTGATGCTTCTCAATTTGAATTCATATTCATGTCTTTTCAAAAGAGTTTACTTGTATCAATTTGGCAGCAAAATGACTTTCATTTTTTATTTTTGATTCTTCAAAAAGTATCTCATAGAAAATATAGTATTTCAAAATTATTTAAAAAGGAATGAGTGCCTTGGCAACACATTGTATTTTATTGGGTGCACCATATTGCATTCTTTCGAATCGATTTTTGATTTTATTAGAGTATAAATACTTATTAGACCATAGATAATCCAGTAATTGTTGATAATATAAAACATTATAAGTTCCAAGACCATGTTAAACTCGGAAAGGATGAATATGAATTGGATTATGGAGAGCCCACTGCCGCCATCAACAGAACAGTACTCAAAGGTCATTTAATCATTGAAAAGTATTTTCAAAACCTTCCTATAACAGAGCTAGCTGAAGACGCATTTTATCGATGTTACCTTTTAACGAAATTAACGATAAAAGCTGATATTAAAGTCATCCCTCGTGGATGCTTTGCAGATTGTTATAATCTCAATTATATTGACCTTCCAAATTCAATCGAAACAATTCAAGAACGAGGTATAATGTTCTGGAATGTGTCAGGCACTGACATTGATAGGAGTCTATTCTTTTCACATGGATCCTGCACCGTTAGATTTCGAAGAGGATCAAAATTAAACGTATTAGGTCCACAAGTTTTCGCATATAAATCTCAGGTAGTATTATTTTTTGAAACACCAGTACATTGCAGTGTGGATGAAAAAACATTTAAAGCAGCTGAAGACGTTTTGATTTACTCCGTTTATCCGATGAAATTAGGGAATTATTCTGTTATTTACAGAGATTGCTCGTGCATATACAATATTTATTTCCAATATCTAGAAGCCTTTAAGTATTTAGGATTAATTATTATATTTTTATAATAGATTCAATTTCGTAAAAAAAATTATTTTAAACAAAATTGTCACTGAAAAACTCTTGAATGATAAAGTATTCAATAGATCTGACCAATTCAAACCATTTCAATGAATATTCATAAAACGATCTTTCCTAATTCGAGAGTAAAAGTATCTTTAAAACTTGATATCCTTTCTGCTAAAAATGTATCTGAAAATATATTATAGATATGATCCTTAATATAATGAAAGCCTGCTTCAAACCATATTTTTTAATTTTAATAAGGGGAGCTTACATTGTTAGCACATGACAAATCCAGTAACTGTTGGTAACATACGGTATTATGTTTATTCAGATCATGTTAAACTCGGTAAAGATGAATACGAAATTAATGGCGAACCTACAGCTGCTATCAGCAGGACAGCACTTCAGGGCCATTTAGTTATTGAAGAATCTTTTCGAGGCCTTCCTATAACAGAATTAGCTGAAAATGCATTTTTTCGTTGTATTTTAGTAACAAATTTAACAATTAAGGCAAATATTAAAGTAATTCCTCGAGGGTGTTTTGGGGATTGCTATAATCTCAATCATATTAACATTCCAGCTTCGGTCGAAACAATCGATACTAGAGGATTGATGTTTTTTAATATTTCAGGCCTTTATTATGATACAGTTGGATCATGTACTGTTATATTCAGAAAGGGGTCTAAATTACGTAGTTTGGGTCAAGAAGCTTTCGCTTACAAGTCACAAGTAATATTATTCTTCGAAACACCTGTTTCATGCATTCTTGGCAAAGATGCATTTAAATCTGTCCAAGAACTATTGATTTATTCAGTATACCCAATGAAATTAGGCAATTATCCTGTTATTTATCGGCATTGCTCATGCATGTGCAACGTTTATATTGGTTATCTCTTTAGTATTATGAATTTAGGGTTTATTAATCTTTTTTTATAAAATTTCTGAATTGATTAAACTTTTTTTAAAGAACAATTTCTATTTAAAACAAAAGTGAGCTTCGGGAACATATGAATCGCAAATTTTCCAATTGAGTTGGCCAATTCAATATAAAAGTTCTATAAGATTTGTTCTTTCCTCATTAGTAACAGATCAATACCTTCACAAACTGATATAGCTTCTGTTAAGAACATATTTTAAAATCCATGATCCATATCATCCTTAACATTTTGAGTGAACTTTTAACAGAACAAATCAATTAGAGATATTTTTCTCTTATAAAACCATAGATTCCCCAGTAGTTGTTGATAACATACGATATTATGTGTTCCAAGACCACATTAAACTCGGAAAAGATGATTATAATCCTGATGATGGTGAGCCAACTGCAGCCATAAATAGAACAGCACTGCAAGGTCATTTAATCATTGAAAAATCTTTTCAAAGCCTTCCTATAACAGCGTTAGCTGAAGATGCTTTTTATCGATGTATCCTAATAACAGAATTAAAGATAAAAGCCGATATCAAAGTCATACCACGAGGATGTTTTGGAGATTGCTATAATCTCAATCATATTGATCTTCCAGCTTCGATCGAGTCAATCGAAACTCGAGGTTTGATGTTTTGGAATGTGTCAGGTACTGATATTGATAGAAGTCTGTTCTTTTCACATGGATCATGCACTGTTAGGTTTCGAAGCGGGTCAAAATTATGTAATTTAGCTTCAGAAGTTTTTGGATATAAAACACAAGTGATATTATTCTTTGAAACACCAGTCAACTGCAGTTCTGATGAACACATATTCTCATTTGTACAAGAAATATTAATTTATTCTGTGTATCCAATGAAATTTGGCAATTATAATGTTATTTATCGAAATTGTTCATGCATATGCAATATATATTTAAGATATCTAGATAGCATTATGAAATTAGCACCAATTATTCTATTTTTATGATAAATTCAATTTTCCAAAATAATTATTTTCATTTAAAATGCTTTTTTTGTGCTATAATTTTGGGATATAATGCTCTGATTAGTCCAATCCAATTCAAAAAATTTCAATGAAAAACTCAAAAAATGATCATACTTCCCAAGGGAGTATCAATGTCTAACCAAATTGATATACTTTATGTTAAGAATATATTTCAGAACGTATATATAGATATAGGACTTAATCGATTGCGAATTTGAGCCCACCAATTAAATCAATTAAAGTAATATTCCTTGCTAAGCATTGACTAATCCAGTGACTGTTGATAACATACGATATTATGTTTATTCAGATCATGTTAAACTTGGAAAGGATGAATATTCAACTGAGAACATTGCTGGACCTACAGCAGCAGTTAATAGAACAGCACTTCAAGGTAATTTGGTTATTGAAAAATATTTTCAAGGCCTCCCTATAACAGAATTAGCAGAAGACGCTTTTTTTCGTTGTATTTTAATAACAGATCTAACAATAAAAGCTGACATCAAAATTATTCCACGAGGATGCTTTGCAGATTGCTATAATCTTAATCATATTGATCTTCCAGCTTCGATCGAATCAATTGAAGATCGCGGATTGATGTTTTGGAATGCTTCCAATTTTGGCGTTAGAACACTAGGATCCTGTACTGTGATATTCCATAGCGGGTCAAAATTGTACAGTTTGAAACGAGAAGCATTCGCTTATAAGCCACGATTAATATTGCTCTTCGAAACACCTGTATCATGCACTATGGATGAAAGTGCATTTAAATCTGTCCAAAAACTTTTGATTTATTCAATGTATCCAATGAAATTTGGCAATTATCCTGTTATTTATCGGCATTGCTCATGCATATGCAACATTTATACTAGTTATCTCTTTAGTATTATGAATTTAGGTCTTATTATTATACTTTTATAAAATATAAAATTGAATAAAAGAAATTTCCATTTAAAAACGAGTTAGATTCTAGAATTCTTGAGTGAGAAAGCCTCCAATTGAATTGGACAATACCTTTAGTTTCAAAACATACAGAAAATTTCAAAGTAAACTCAGAAAACTTTCATATCCTGTTTCGGAAGTAATATCCTAAATACTAATTGCCCTCCTTACTTTTTAGAATATATTATTAAATCTATACAAGATATATTCCTTCATTTCCCAAGATGCTGCTTTCATTTTTTGATCATTTCAAGAATTAATCTATTTTAAACCATGACTAATCCAGTTACTGTTAATGGCATAAGATATTACATGTATTCTGACCATGTTAAACTCGGAAAGGACGAATATTTAAAAGACGATGGCGAACCCACAGCTGCTGTCAGCAGAACAGCTCTTCAAGACCACTTAGTTATTGAAAAATCTTTTCAAGGTCTTCCAATTACTGAATTAGCCGAAGATGGCTTTTTTCGTTGCATTTTAATTACAAAATTAACAATAAAAGCTAATATTAAATTTATTCCTTGAGGATGCTTTGCAGATTGTTATAATCTTAATTATATAGATCTTCCAGCTTCAATTGAATCAATTGAAACCCGAGGACTGATGTTTTGGAATGTTTCAGGTCTTTATGGCAATACACTCGGATCTTGTACTATTCGTTTTAGGAGCGGATCAAAATTACGTAATTTGGGTCCAGAGGTTTTTGGATACAAACCTCTGGTGATAATATTCTTCGAAACACCTGTGCAGTGCAGTATTGATAAAATAGCATTCAATTATGTCAAAGAACTGTTGATTTATTCAGTATTTCCAATGAAATTTGGTAATTATCCTGTAATTTTTCGTGTTTGTTCATGTGTATGCAACATTTATTTTGACCATCTATTTAGCATTATGACTGTAGGATTTATTATTCTTTTTCAGTATTAAATGTTCAAAAATTTATAATTAATTTTTAACTGAAGCAAGATTACTGCTGAGAAAGTATTATAAAAAGGACATTAATGAGAAAAATTAAATTAATTTTTTACTCGAGAAATCTTAATTTGTTGGATTTGGATTATCTTTGAGCTGCGTATTTGGATGTGCTTCGTATGCTTGTGGGATGTTTGCAGGTCCATTTTCATCATCGTAATCTGAGTAGGATGAGTCAGAAGAAGAGTACGAAGTTGAGTATTCCTTAGGCTCTTGTCCACTTCTTGGTTCAGGACGTGGAGGGCACTCGTAAACTTGTTGCTGCTGTGGTGGAGGGAAATAAGCACATCCTTGTGGATGCTGAGGTGGTGGGCAGCAAGGACAGACTTGTGGAGATGGTTGGAAGTCACCTGGGAAAGGACCATGGTGATGGAAATGCTTTGGACCATGTGGGCGGCAAAAACCTTCGTCGAATTCTGGTGGTGGACAATGATCTTTGTGAGGTTCATGCTTGCCATGGCAAGGTGGATGTCCGAATGGTGGCTGGTTATCACATTGCGGTGGTTGGCAGAACTCAGGTCCCATCATTGGTGGATGGCAGTGTCCATGGTGATGATGATGTTTGAAAAATGGTGGTGGCTGATCAAATCCTTCACGTGGATGAGGACGCTTGAAGACTGGAGGTGGGCACTCTTGCTGGCAATGATAAGGTGGCCAAAATTGAGGTGGCTGCTGAGGAACCTGACCATCATTGCCTTGTTGTGGAGGAGGAGGGCAGAATGGAGGCTGCTGGAAAGGAGAAGGTGGTGGAGCACCATGGTGGTGATGGTGGTGATGATGATGGCGATGTGGTGGCGGTGGTGGTGGGCCCTGCATCCATGGATGTTGGAAATCTGGTCCAAATTCTGGTCCATTATGGGGCTGATGGCATGGTGGATGTCCCCATGGGAAAAATGGAGGATGGAATGGATGTGGGTGGCCGCGATGATGACGAGGATGATGATCATTTTCTTCTGATGAGTAAGATGATGAGGAATCTGAAGAGTAAGAGTCGGATCTATGCTTTTCATCATCTTTTCTGTTTTTCATTTCTTGTCATTTTTTGAATTCCTCATATTCATTTGGATCAATCATGATTTTTTCTTGTTTCGCATCATGTGGAGCATTCATCTTGGTCTGTGTGACCGAGGGTTGCGGCTCATTATTTGGTGGTACAGTTTTGCCTTGTTCCATAATAAAAATGAAGTTAGTTGGATATTTTTTTTTTCAAAATTGTTCTTCTCAAAAAATTTCAGGCCATTTTTACATTGATTAATTCATTGATAATTATTCATACCTCTTTTGCAATTTTTTAAATTCAATAGTATTCAAAAAATCCGTTATTTCGTTATTTGTTGAAAATTTTTTCCCAATCAATTTCCCTCTCAAAAAATTAACCTCATGGCAGACAACTCAGATATTCAAGTTCCGCTGTGAAAGGGATTATAAAATAGCATTATTTTTCATCAATATACGTTTTATGTCTTTTTTTTCAAAGTTTTCCGATAATTCTATGATTGATGAACATAATTACTGTTATAAGAATACATGACCAATTTGCGGTGATTACATGATTTACCTTATTTTTCTCAAAAGTGTTTACAAAAATTCTTATGAAATTTATCATCAAAAATTATCGAAATTTGATGTTGATCAAAATGTTTTTGCTTCTATATTTATGAAAAATTTAAAACAGATACTGTGATTATAGCATAAATCTATCTCGAATTCTTCATTATCTCATATTTTGAGTACTTTGAAAATCATTCTTTAAGCAGATCATTTGTTAGCGGCCATAGATATCAAATTAAAAATTGGAGTAAAAAACATTATGAATGTTGTTCATGGATTGAAAGAAGAAGCAGAGGATGAAAATAAAATTTATAATTTTTCTTCTCTAACCCGTGTAATCAAAATTACAACTATATATTCTTATTTTAGGATTAAACCAGCTAAAATTCATATCATACTTGAATATTTAAAATAATTACTTATATCTGGTTTTGTAATTATTAATAGTGCTGCAATATATATCATTTGTCAGAATTTATACAATAAAATTAAAGAAGGAAAGTAAATATATGTTTATTCGCACAATTTTTATAAAGTTTGAATTAAATGTAGTTATTTTGAATTGTTTCGAGCTGCAACTGTATTAATTGCAGCATGAATTTTGTTCATTGTCTCTTTCATGTCCATGTCGTCAGGGTTTGGAGGGCAAGCTGTATTGTAATATGGATTGTTACTGGTAAATAAGGCCCAATGAACAGGATCTGGAGAGTCCTTTGATTCAGAGATATACATTCCTCCATTATTTGGTGGAGGTGGAACAAAATATCCTTGGCTCTGGCCAGTGATGTCTTGATTATAGTTTGGAGGTGGAGGGTAAATTGGTTGGCTGGAATTTCCTGATGGCTTCTTAGAACTGAGGTCTGGAATAGTTCCCTGAGGATATTGTGGATGATTCAATTCATGGCGATGATGATGGTGCGTTTTTGAGTATGTTTGATTAAAATCATTTCCTTTAAGGTTTTCATAGAGGCATTCTTTTTCAATAATATAAGGCCAGAATCGTGGTGGTGGAAGAGGGAATCGATGATGATGAAAACCATGTGGTGGAGGAGGTCCACGTATCCATGGATGAGGTGGAACTCCAGGTCCAAATTCTGGATGTAAGTGAAAAGGGAAAGGAGGGCGTCTCAAAGGACCCAATGGGAAAAGAAGTGTCGGCCTTGGATAAAGATGATGAGTATATGTATTTTCTTCATCTGATGAATATGAATATGATGAATCTGAATAGTCTGAGTCATTGCTATTCTTCATCTTTTGCCATTTCTTGAATTTTTCGTATTCTTCCTCATCAACAGTGATGGCAATTTTCTTTTTCTCTGTTGACTTATTGCTTTGAAGCTTAGCATCTTTAGATTGCGGCTTTTGATTTACTGCTCTATTCATTCTTTGCTACAAGTGAATAAATGAAATAAATTTGAATGCCCTTAAGAATTTGTTGAGCAATTCTGGAAACAAGTCTCATATTCAGTCTAGTTCAGAAACTAAATTTTATACAAAATTTTACCTTTCTCAAAAACCTATCACAAAAATTAACCTTGATGTCAAAAATTGTATGAAAGTTTCTTTTGAAAAGATTCAGTAACATAATTTTGGCAAATTCAACGATCAAGACTTAATTGTCATATATATTTCACATGGTGGTCTTCCAAATTCATAAGCTTATTCATGAAATAGCGATTTGATTAAACCTTAATCAATTTTCGATGAATCAAATATCCATTAGATTAATTTGAAGAAAAAGAAAATCTTTTATTTAATTCAATTCAACTCAATTTACAGAAATTAGAAATGCAATTATAATTTGAACAAAAATTTCAAATATATCTAACATCATTAATACTCCACCAATTATGACCTATTTCTAAGCTCTTTGTAAAGATATACTTATACTTTGAAATCTAATATTTATTAGGTCAAAATATTTTATCAAATTGGATATTGCTAATAATATAGCAAATATAAACAACGAATATATCATTAAACATAAAGAAATATTTAATACTTTTCAAAAATAATTAGAGGTATTTTAAGTATAGGTCTTCTTTTCGCCCATTATTAACAGACTCTGCTGATAAGCATCATTAGCTTTATCCTTCTTGCAGATAATTACAATAACAATAATCAAAACCAAAAGAATAGCAGTTAAAATAGCAACAACAATCCAGAACCATAATGGCAATGTTTTATTGTCTTCTTTCATCCAAGCCAATAATTGTTTGATAGTTTCTTCTCTTACACTCTTTAAATATTCAGAATCTCCATCACTTGGATCATGTAAATCATCACAATGAAATCCATCTTTAATATTAAAACTAATGATGGATTTCTCAGTATCATTTCGTTTCATTGTTAATTCAGACCATGGATCATAATGTGAATTAGTATAAACCACTTTTGTCACGTTTGGATTATAACCGCCATATTTTTCATTGAATTTTTCTGTGTCAGGGAATTGAGTGAAACCAAACAATTCTTTGCAAGAATCAAGTGAAGTTTCTATGGTTAATAATTCACTTCTCAATAAACCAGAAGCTGATGAAAACCATCCTAATTCGTTACATGTCATATACATCCAGCTTCTTGAGCTTTTTGAGTCAGAATAAATAGATGTGTTCTTCAGGAATTCGATATTATTGTTGAAGAAATTATCTTTGCCAACAATAGAATTAGATGTATCTGCCATGACATTAATAACTTCATCATCATTAGACATGTCAATCTTCTTGAATTTTTCGCACATTTCTAATAAAAATTTGTTGTATGCTTTATATTGATTTCCGTAGCTGTAAACATCAGAGAACATTCCTAAGAAATCAACTGAATTGTTGACAAATTGTGCATCTTTAGGAACTCCGAATTTCTCCATCATCTCTTCTGTTTTTTCGTTCTTGAGTAAAGTAATTCTTTCGATAGTTTTATATGCTTTCAAGGCATTATCATAGCAGCCATAATCTTTGTAGTCTTCCGCTTCATGTTTATCGTATTCTGAGAAGTTGTTTTGAGAATGAATTGGAGCAGATGAAGCCCAACTACCTAAAGTCAATTCAGGATGTTTCTGACGGAACCGGGAGGATAAGGCTCCTGGATATGAGCCACCTACCATCAATGCTTTGCATTTTGAGGCATCTTGGCAGTAATTTTGCTTCATTTGAGTGATGAAATTGGCCAAATCTTCTATTGCCTGGTCAACTGTTAAGTATTTAAAGTTTTCTAATTCTAAATTGCCGTGTGGGATTGATTCGCCAAAGTATCTATGCTCCAATGCTAAAATTACAGATTTTGTTACGCTTGCTATATGTTGAACGTCATATTTAAGTGATGATTCTAGGAGTGGAGCCTCTCCACCAATGTACACAACTAAATTTTTGGACTTTTTGGAGTAATTCGTGTTGATATAATATCTTTGCTTGAATGTTTCGGCAAGATCAGAGAAATGATCTAGTTTTTGATCAAACCACATTTGGTCTCCTATATTGATCTCTCCAAAATTCATTTGTCTCAAGAAAAATAAGAATGATGCCATTGATAAAAATGAAGTCATTTTATCAATTTATCTGAATAGAATAATAAGGCTCAACAAACATGCAAATATTTTCGTAATTAAACAGAGGATTTTTATTTTTTGATATCATTTGAGATAAATCTAACCTTTCTATGTGAAAACTATGATGAATTCCTATCAGCTAATTTAACTATTTTCAATAATATCCAATTTGACGCTCATTTTCAGATATTGCTTCTACATTGAATGGAGATCAGAACGAAACATGGACCACCATCCTTGTTTGATAGAAAATCTAAAATAGTGAAGAGAATAGTACCTAATATTAAATACCAATTCCAAGTTTTGAATGAAAATAGAAAAATTAGAAATTTCAGCATTGATTCCGTTGGATATCTAATAATCACAAAATCGTATATTAGGAATAATAGCGTGTTATCAGTATGGGATACTAGAAGTTTTCAAATTATTTGTGAATTCAATTTTCCAAAGGCTCATGTTGTGAATTATATGCTTACACACGATAGTTCAACGATATATGTCTCACTGATGGGTGGGACAATTAAAAAATTCTCATTTTTCACAGGAGAATTGCTTTTATCACTCAATAATTTAGCAGATGGATATTCCTGCTACGTGATGACTGTATCCCAAAATGATGAATATATTATGTTTGGATTTGAAAACGGACTAGCTCTCTTCTATAAAAAAAGTAATGATAGACCTTTTAAGAAATTTTCTTTTGAAATCCCGATAAATACCTGCGCATTTTCATCAGGAAGCACATTTTGTGCGATAGGACTAGATGATGGCACAATCTTTGTAGTTAGCATGAAATCTGAACATATTTGGAGACAAAAAATACATTCGAATCCAACAACATCAGTTTCATTCTCGACTTATTCACCATTGTATTTGATTTCATCCTGCATTAAATCAGGTGAAATATCCTTTAGCAAGTTCGAAAATAATATTTATAAAGTTTACAAGAAGATATCTGTTCCACACAAATGCCGTCTCGTTGCATATTCTTTCTCTTATGACGAAACTATTATCTATGGATGCTCAAGAAACGAAATTTATGCTTGGGAATCTGAATCCGGAAATTTAATCGGGCAACTAGAAGTTAAGGAACTAGGAATAGAATTAATTAGCGTTTCTGCACATCCTTGTTGTAGAAATTTATGCTTAGTTGTTTCAAAATCATCAATCTCTCTTTGGAATTATAAAACCCATGAATATACTGATCTACACATAGTTCAACTCGGAAATACTTTGATACAATCAGTACAATGGGCTGATAGTTTAACATTATATGGACTTTTCTCAGATGGTTCACTCAAGGTTTTTTCTACAAAGAGCGGAAACTGGCAACAACAAAATGATAATGAATATATTAGATTTATTAATAATGAAGGCAATGAGTGGCCAGAGATACTCAAATTGTATTATGGAAAGTATTTTATTCACCCTTTTATCACTAATATGACTAATGTAGAAAGTATCCTTCTATCGCATTTACCTATACATGTTGATGATATAGATCCAATTGAATCTGATGAGAGTTCGGATGATTCTTACTGATCAACTTGTTTGATATGGGATGTATTTTAAAATCGGAAAGCCCGAAATCGAAAGAATCTGTAATTTGTGATGATAGAATCACGAAGTATGAATGACAGCTGTCCCACACAAAAATCTATGATACAAGAAATACTTTCATAATAGATTTCAGAACATAAACACACAACAGAATCCTTTGTTCACTAATTTCTTCGTTGGACTCAAAGGAATGAATCAAGAAAATAGGGAGAGATAATAATAATAAAAAGTTTTCAACATTTACGATTGTTACAAATAACGTTTCCGAGAATGACATTCAAACAATTTTACATGCTTTAAAAACTAAATCCAAGAAAATCATGTTTCACGGATACTTAGAAAACTTTGTTTCGTCTACAAGAAAAAAATTTTTAAGAATTTTATGAGTTGCTTAGTTTTATTTATTTGAAATAAGAGAATATATAAATGGAATAGATTTGTTTGGTTTTCTGAATTTCTTGATATTATCAATGGCATTGAATGTAGGAATTTCATCAAGTGAAAATATACTTGTGATGATTGATGAGACTTCGTCATACCTATTTGATACACAAAGAGAAATAATTAAATTCCCCTCATAATATCTGTTAATTGGGATGTCAATAAACACATCTTTGAAAGAATCATCATCGATATCGCAATCTTTCGTATTAGTGTAATTAAGAATATCATTAGTCAAATTTGCTTCGATGGTTAGCATTCCATTGCCACGATAATCACGAACTCGGCAATGAACTCGTACAAAATTTTCAATCCTTGAAATGTTATTTTCGGATTGAAATTCTATTTCAGGTTTATTATATTTATAGATGAAATAAAAATAACTCATTGTCGATGATGAATAACCATATTTGTCATTGGCAGAAATTGAGATCCTTTTCCCACCTTCTTCCAACTGATTTCCCAATTCAAGATTCGTTATTATTTGGTCTGGAACAATTTTAGAAATGGCTTGGCTAATGGATGTTGATTCAATAGATACAATAATAGTAACATTGTCATTAGGATCTTCATCTTCAATATTGAGTCCAATTCTAATTGTGTCATTGACAGAACGAATATAAATAGGAGGATTGAATTTGTCATTCTCTGTGAGAAGATTAATTATTGGTTTGTGATAAATAAGAGAGAATGAATTTTCGAATGTGTCTGTAGTTAAGCCTGTGGCATTGAAGAAGTAATGAAGTTTGTGATCACTTGATGTAAGACTTGAAGGAAGATTGATACTTCGTTCAATGTGATCATTGTCATTTCTTCCATAAATATATTCTGTAATTTTAGAATCATAATTATTATCGAAGTAATAATTGAATGAATACAAAACATTCGAAGGAAATTCGATATCATAAATTAACTTCAATGAATTCTCTGTTGTCTTATAATAATTTTCTTTTTCAAGTTTATTATTTTCAATCTTAATTGGAGGAGGATCTGTGATATTTAACTCATATGTTGGATGATAATAGGAGATATATGTTACAAATGTAAAAGAGTGATTTCCAGATTCAAGGAAAGAAATCGGAATTATATAACCATATTCATTCGGATTAATTTCAAAAAATGGTTTATCAAAATCAAAGTAGATAATTAAAGACTGTAAATAATTCCATGAAGGTTTACAACTAAAATTCAATTCTTTTGTGCCTCTAATTTGAAGCGGCTCATAAAATTCGAGTGGGGGACAAACTCGCCCATTGTCACTTTTCATTAACCTTAAACTTGTAATTTTCATTATTTTTAATTAACCTTATTTCTTTCCCAATTCCTGATTTATTTTATTCACTTACTATTAAAAGTCACATTTTAATAAAATATAATAATTTATTTATAGCATTTTTTACTATACTGTAATAAAAAATTAATTATAATAAATTAAATGTTTATTAAATCAAATGTTTTCTTTGCAATAATATTTTTAATGTTGAGTAAACAATGTTGGGATCAAGTGTATCATTTTTCAGACCTTTCTGAACAGCTTCAAGCATACTGATGCATTCGACTTTTTTAAATTGTGTCATTTCTTCGAAATCTCTTGTGACTTTTTTGATAACTTTAACACTTCTCTCTGAATCCAGACCTTTAATTTGCAACTTAATCAGGAATAAAGGAACAACACTGGAATATAACTCGATGACAAGTTCATCGAGTCGAAGATTTGGTTGTACACCACTTGTATGTGCCGGATACCATTGTGTCAAATTTTTTCTGAAATTAACTTTAAAAGTACTAAGTAAGATCATGAGATATAGCAATATATGTTTAAACCAACTTATATTTTGGTTGTACACCACTTGTATGTGCCGGATACCATTGTGTCAAATTTTTTCTGAAATTAACTTTAAAAGTACTAAGTAAGATCATGAGATATAGCAATATATGTTTAAACCAACTTATATTTTGGTTGTACACCACTTGTATGTGCCGGATACCATTGTGTCAAATTTTTCTGAAATTAACTTTAAAAGTACTAAGTAAGATCATGAGATATAGCAATATATGTTTAAACCAACTTATATTTTGGTTGTACACCACTTGTATGTGCCGGATACCATTGTGTCAAATTTTTCTGAAATTAACTTTAAAAGTACTAAGTAAGATCATGAGATATAGCAATATATGTTTAAACCAACTTATATTTTGGTTGTACACCACTTGTATGTGCCGGATACCATTGTGTCAAATTTTTCTGAAATTAACTTTAAAAGTACTAAGTAAGATCATTTATTTTTGCATAATATAATGCCAATATGGTTTCTTTTGATTTTATTTCATTTATAAGCAAATCAGATTTACCCAAAAACTCCACTCCATAAGCGTTCATTTGCTAAATTAAAAAGTGACAATGGGCTAGTCTGTCCCTTTCTCATAAAATTCGTTAATTAACTTAGTGTAGCTCATAGATGGACTATTCCTTTCGAATACAAAATTTCCAGTTTGATTTGTACCAATGGAAATAGGATAAAATATTATGTCTATTACATATTCTTCGCTTTTATTAAATGTTTTAATTTGATTGTTGTTTTGACTAATAGATATCCTTTCTGATCCATTCATTAAACCGTCGGGTGTTAAATATATATTTTCTTTTTTGGGAACAGTAACTTCAAATTTATATGCAAAAAAAATGAGAGCTGTTGTCAACATTCTTGATAGACAAACAATTTGTTAATGCACCTGTGACAGCAGTGATTTTACATGTGGTCATATTTGCAATTAAATTGTTCTGCTTAACCTCAAACGAAGGCTCTGACGGAAGCCTGATAGTTTCATTATCAACTTTTAAAATTGATACGTATTTTATTTCATTTTCGGAATAGAATTTGTAAAAATCAATTATTGATTGGGTCATAAGTCGCTCTAATGTTAATTAAATAGAAGTCGAAAAATTATTTTTGAAAGAATACTTTAACTTGTTATCAATAAATGCCTTCTTGCTTTTATCAAAAAAAAAAACGACACCCACTAAATTTATGTAAACTAAACAGATTTTAAAAATTATATCAAACAAATATATCTTTATGAATTAAGACCGACTTTAATCATATAGTGAGATTCAAGAGAGAAAAAATTTTCGAATATGTCTGTAGTTAAGCCTGTAGCATTGAAGAAGTAATGAAGTTTGTGATCACTTGATGTCAGACTTGATGGAATATTGATACTTCGTTCAATGTGTTCAGTGTCATTCGTTCCATAAATATATTCTGTAAATTTGTTATCTTGATTATCATCGAAGTAATAATTGAATGAATACAAAACATTCGAAGGAAATTCAATATCATAAATCAATCTCATTGAATTATCAATTGTCGTATAATAATTATCTTTCTCATTTTTTTATTTTGTATACAATATATGAAGAATTTCTTGATTTCTATTCATCATTTACAAAGTTTTTTTAATACATTTGATTTTATGCGAACATTATTACTTATTTGACGTCAGACATGACAAAAATGGAATAGATCTGAATGGATGTTTGTATTTCTTGATTATGTTAAGTTCATTGAATGAAGGAATTTCATCAAGACTAATTGTATTCATGATAACAGATGATATTTCATCATGTACGTTTGATACACAGAGAGATATTGTATAATTTCCTTGGTAATATCTATTGATTGCTATGTCAATATTAACATCTTTGAATGAGTCATCCTCAATTTCAAGCTCTTTCTTTTTAGTGCTGTTGAAAAAAGCATTCGTCAAATTCGCTTCAATAGTTAGAACTCCGTTTCCGCGAAAATCTCGAACTCTGCATTGAATTCGAATAAAATTTTCAATTCTTGAAATATTATTTTCTGACCGAAATTCAATTTCAGGTTTGTTATATTTGTATATAAAATAAAAATACGCCATCTGAGATGAAGAATAGCCATATTTGTCGATAGCAGAAATTGAAATTCGTTTATAACCTTCATCTAGTTGACTTTCGAGGTTAATATTTGTATCAATATGATATGGAGCATTTTTGAAAAAAGATTTAATGATTGTCGATCCAATTAAAATGGAACTGCTGACGATATCATCTGGATCTTCATCTGAAATATCATATTCAATAGAAAAGCTATCATTAACATAACGAATGAAGATTGGGGGATCATTTTCGTCATTCTCTGTGAGAAGATGAATAATTGGTTTGTGATAAATAAGAGAGAATGAATTTTCGAATGTGTCTGTAGTTAAGCCTGTAGCATTGAAGAAGTAATGAAGTTTGTGATCACTTGATGTCAGACTTGATGGAATATTGATACTTCGTTCAATGTGTTCAGTGTCATTCGTTCCATAAATATATTCTGTAAATTTGTTATCTTGATTATCATCGAAGTAATAATTGAATGAATACAAAACATTCGAAGGAAATTCGATATCATAAATCAATTTGACCGAATTTTCTGTTGTCTTATAATAATTTTCTTTTTCAAGTTTATTATTTTCAATCTTTATTGGTGGTGGATCTGTGATATTTAACTCATAAGTTGGATGATAATCTCGATAATTTGTCATTAATGTGAAGGAATAATTACCAGTATCTAGAAACAAAATAGGTATCAAATAACCTGAATCAAAATGGTTTCTCAAAATCGAAGTAAATTGTTAATGGATGCAAATCTTCTTCTATAAGTGCGCAGTGAAAATCCAATTCTTTTGTACCTCTAATTTGAATTGGATCATAAGATATGTCAATAAATCCTGATGGTATACTGGCAGGTGAAAGCCCATTGAATGAAAAATATCTAGTTGTGCCTGTTCCAATTGAAACGGGATAAAATATCAAGTCTATCACATAATCTTCATTTTTCATAAATGTTTGAATTTTATTAACCATTCTTGCATAAATTTTTATGGCTTTTGTCCCATTCATTAAACCATTGGGAGTCAAATATATATTTTCTTTTTTGGGAACAGTAACTTCAAATTTATATGCGATCAAATGAGATTTATCGTCAATATTCTTTACATATAATCGATTAGTATAAAGTCCCTGTATAACAGTTACTTCTTCAACAGTCATGTTGAAAATGAAATTATTTTTCTGTTCTTCAAATGTAGGCTTTGAGGGAAGTGAAATAGTATCATTATCAACTCTTAAGAATGACGCATATTTTACTTCTTCATTAGAATAATAATTGTAAAAATCACTGATTGATAGCGTCATTCGAAGTTTTCGTAAATATTATAAACAATTTATGAAAAAGCAATCGGTATTTATATATGGCCTACATTATCATGAAATAATCGAGCCAAATCATTTCCGAAAAATGTCACTTTTTAATTAAACATTCGATATTTAGGAATGTTAATGAGCTAGATAGAAAATATTTTGTATTGATCAAATTTCATTCCTAAATTAGATGAATTATAATGAGACATAGGTGTGATTTCGTTCATCTAGCATATGATGAAATTAATATGAATTGATTATGAAGGAAATCCAGAATCTCATGGTAAAACAAAGAAACTATTATTTGTTAAATATTCATCTTAGATGATTTTATGTTTACTTTTTGGAAATTAAAGAACATATCAGTTGAACAGATTTCTTCGGATATTTGACTTTCTTAATCTTATCAAGAACATTGAAGGTGGGAATCTCATCAAGCGTAAAAACATTTGTGATGGCTGACGAGATTTCATTATGAGTATTCGATACAAAGAGAGAAATATGATAAGTACCCTCATAATATCGGTTGATAGGAATGTCAATAATGACATCTTTGAATGAATCATCTTCAATTTCACATTCTTTCTGCTTAGTGAAATTGAATATATCTGTAGTTAAGTTTGCTTCAATCGTTAACAAACCGTTTCTGCGATAATCTCGAACTCGACATTTAATTCGAACAAAATTATCGATCCTTGAAATGTTGTTTTCTGATTGAAATTCAATCTCTGGCTTGTTGTATTTGTAAATGAAATAAAAATAGGTCATTGAAGATGCCGAGTAGTTATGATTATCGACAGCATAAATTAAAATCCTTTTGACTCCTTCTTCTAATTGATTTCCTAATTCAAGATTAATATCAACATTGTATGGAACAATTTTGGAAACAGTTTTGGTAATAGTTGTCGATTCAATAGAAATTGTAGTTGTAACGTTATCATCAGGATCTTCATCTTCAATATTGAGTCCAATTCTAATTGTGTCATTGACAGAACGAATATAAATAGGAGGATTGAATTTGTCATTCTCTGTGAGAAGATTAATTATTGGTTTGTGATAAATAAGAGAGAATGAATTTTCGAATGTGTCTGTAGTTAAGCCTGTGGCATTGAAGAAGTAATGAAGTTTGTGATCACTTGATGTAAGACTTGAAGGAAGATTGATACTTCGTTCAATGTGATCATTGTCATTTCTTCCATAAATATATTCTGTAATTTTAGAATCATAATTATTATCGAAGTAATAATTGAATGAATACAAAACATTCGAAGGAAATTCGATATCATAAATTAACTTCAATGAATTCTCTGTTGTCTTATAATAATTTTCTTTCTCAAGTTTATTATTTTCAATCTTAATAGGTGGTGGATCTGTGATATTTAATATAAAAAAGGCTGAATATAAGGAAAGTCTGCACGGCGAATTCTGAATTTAATAAATGGATACCAAATATGAACAAATGAGAAAGTGTAATTTCCAGAATCTAAAAAGGAAATGGGAATTAAATATCCTTCATTATCATAAGGATCCAAATTTATGAATGGTTTCTCAAAATTATAGAAAATTATTAATGGATATAATTTATTCGAATTAAATGCACAACTGAAATTCAACACCTTCGAACCTCTATATTGAATTGGGACGTAATTAATCCTTGAAATATGGACAACATTTGCGGTCGAAATCCCTCTTTTATTGAAATAAAACGATTTAGAACTGTTGCTTTGCAATTTTGAAGGGTAAAACATAAATTCAAGTATATAATCATCATTTTTAAAGTATGTGTTAACTTCATCAGCTGTAGAAGATCCAAAGCTGATTGAATTTGTTTCGTTTTTCAATCCATCCTCAGTTAAAGATATATTTTCTTTTTTTGGGATACTAACTTCAAATTTATAGGCAATTAAGTGCGATATATCATCATTATTAGTAACAGTTAAACAATCTTCGTATGGATTTGTCCAAAGTTTTCCAGAAGCTTCTTCTAAACTCATATGACAATTTAAGGAGCTTATTTGAACATTGTCAACCCTTAAGAATGAAAAATATTGAACTTCACTTTCTGAATAAAATTTGTAGATTTCACGAGTATAAAATGACATTAATTGATAAATATTATTAAAAATAGTATATTAGAATTTACTACAAAATAATAGCGCCCTTACATTTCAGAGACCAGAGATTATTATTCTGATTTCATTAAATGCCCCTTTTAAAAGTCTAATTTTGCTTCCACATAGTATTACCTTCTTACTTTTCAAATTCAGCTCAATTACAAAAATAGTTGCAGCAAATGAAAAGGTCTACCGAGCAGTTTAATTTGTTGTTCATTTAACATTTTGCATCATATTATCTTTAAGACTTTAAGATTCATTGAATGAAACTCATTTGTTTATGTATTATCCTCATAATCTCAAGTGATTGCACTGATAATATCGACATTAGATTTTCTTTCTTTTGGCCGATATAAGTTATACAGATTCAAACTTTTCTGAAAATTGAATATTTGTTTATTTATAAATAATATATAAGGTCGATGAAAAATTGAGCGTTTTTAAAAAACCGCCGTTTGAGAGGAAAATTGAGAGCCCCGATGTATACTTTTTGACATTGTCAAAAACTTTGAAAGGACCAAAAAAATTTAGTGCCAGAAAGTTTACAAATGTATACTTTCTGACAAACAGACTCTCAGAAAGTACTCAAACTGCGGTTTTTAATTTAAGCACTTTTTTTGGCGACCTTACTTTTATTAAATATTTGTTTATATTTGTTTGATATTAGAGTAAATATAAACGGGAGCAATTGCTTGGATATTTGAGTTTCTTGAATTTATCAAGAACATTGAATGTAAGAATTTTATTAAGTGCAAAAATGCTTGAAAAAAATAGATTTCGTATTGGATATTACAAAGAGAAATAGTGCAATTATCTTTGTAATATTTGTTGATTGGAATATCAATGATAACATATTTGAATGAATCATCATCTGAAATATCATATTCAATAGAAAAGCTATCATTAACAGAACGAATGTATTTGTCTATTCTATATTTAATAATTGGTTTGTGATAGAAAAGAGAGATTGATTTTTTGAATGAAGAATTAATGAAGTTTGTGATCATTTGATGTGAGACTTGAAGGAAGATTGATATTTCGTTCAATATGTTCTGTATCATTCGTTCCATAAATAAATTCTATAATTTTAGAATTTTCATTATCATAGAAGTTATAATTGAAAGAATATAAAACATTCGAAGGAAACTCGATATCATAAATCAATTTGACGGAATTATCTGTTGTTTTATTAAATTCTTCTTTTTCAAGTTTATTCTCGACATTAATTTGTGGTGGATCTGTGTTATTTAATACATGATTTGATTTACAATTTTCGCGAATCACAACATATGTAAATAAATAGTTACCTGAATCTAAGAAGGAAATAGGAATCAAGTATCCTTCATTGTTGTATGGTTCTACTTAAATTGCATAAAGCTTTTTCTTCATTATATAAAGATCACAGTTGAATTTAACATAAGTTGCCAAATCTAATCATTAAATGATTTGAAACTTTTATTTTACATGATCCTTTCACATGTTATATTATTATTTATTTTGTAATAAATTATAGCAATAAATAAATGGAATTAACTTGTTTGGATGCTTGAATTTCTTGATTTTTTCAATTGCCATGAATGTAGGAACATCACTAAGTTGAAATACACTTGTGATAATAGATGAAATTTCGTCATGGGCGTTTGATACATAAAGAGAAATAGTGCAGTTATACTCATAATTTCTGGTTATTGGAATATCAATGATAACATCTTTGAACAAATCATCTTCAATGACACATTCTTTTTGCTTAGAGTTATTGAAGACATCACTTGTTATATTTACTACAGTAGTTAGTATACCATTTCCACGGAAATCTCGAACCTTACACTGAACTCGAACAAAATCATCAATTTGCGTGATATTATTCACTTTTTGAAATTCGATTTCTGGCCTATTATATTTGTATATGAAATAAAAATAACATTTCGGTGATGAAGGAGTGTTATACTCATCTATCGAAGAAATAAGAATTCTATTAGTTTCTTCATTCAAATCATGATTACCTAATATAATATTAAATGTTTCATGATATGGGGCAGTTTTTGAAATTGTTTGGACGATTGATGTTGATTCAATAGATATAGTAGTAGTGACATCGTCATCTGGATCGTCGTCGTTAATTTCGTATTCGAAACTAAGTGTATCATTTACAGAACGAATATAAATTGGAGGATTATATTTGTCATTATCTATGAGAAGGTGAATAATTGGTTTGTGATAAAGAAGAGAAAATGAATTTTCGAATGTTTCTGTAGTTAAGCCTGTAGCATTGAAGAAGTAATGAAGTTTGTGATCATTTGATATCAGACTTGATGGAAGATTGATACTTCGTTCAATGTGTTCATTATAATTCGTTCCATAAATATATTCTGTAATTTTGGAATCATAATTCTTATCGAAATAATAATTGAATGAATACAAAACATTCGAAGGAAATTCGATATCATAAATCAACTTCACTGAATTTTCTGTTGTCTTATAATAATTTTCTTTTTCAAGAATATTATTTTCGATTTTAACTTGTGGCGGATCTGTGATATTTAACACAAATGTTGGATGATATTCATTGTAATCTGTAACCAAAGTAAATGTGTAATTGCCTGTTTCAAGAAAAGATATTGGAATTATATATCCTGCATTATTATTATATGAATCAAATCGAAAGAATGGTTTCTCAAAGTTAAAGTAAATTATTACTGGGTCCCAATAGCGGTCTTCATATTCACAACTGAAATTCAACTCTTTTGAACCTCGATATTGAATTGGGTCATATTTTATATTTATATATCTAAAATATGCCATTTGAGCATGATCATTGGTAATGAATATTAAAGTTTTTTCTCTTTGATTTTCAATATATATAAGATAAAATATCATGTCAATTACATAATCATCATTTTTTGTATATGTATTAATTTCGAGAAACATTTCTGATGCGAAACTAATTGATTTTGTTTCATTTTTCAATCCATCTTCAGTCAAAACTATATTTTCTTTTTTTGGAACAATAACTTCAAATTTATAGGCAAAGGTATGAGGCTTATTATCGTTATTTTTAATAGAAAAATGATCAGTTGAAGATCTATTTTCCATTTTATAGTTGATAGAGTTCTTATTAACGTCGAACGTTGGTTCGGATGGAAGTTGGATTGTATCATTATCAACTCTTACAAATGAGAAATAATGAACTTCACTTTCCGAATAAAATTCGTAGATTTCATGTATGAAGTCGGCCATTGACTGAGAAAAAGTGTATTAAATTTAAAATACAATTATTTATAATCAATAAATAATTCTCTTACATATTGGCAATGGAAGCAAGACCGAAGATACCATTAACATGTCACTTTTTAATATTCTTATAATAATTTTTCATAGCTTCAGTCAACTGCATAAAGCATTCTTAGTTTTATTGATATTATAATAGAGCAGTGTTAAATTTAGTGTCAAATTTTGATTCATTGAGATCTCTTTATTCTAAAGGATGTATAGCCCAGACATAGTTACTTATTCAAACTTTTCTATTTATTTGATATTATAATTGTCAATATTTAAGGGTGCATTTTCGTCCCTATGACACAGACTTCAGTTTCGGTCTTTAAGGTTAATTTTCAAAGGCATTTCACGCCAATTGTCCGAAATATGAATTAAAGCCAGACGTGTGTAAGTGCACTCTTAATATGTTTACAAAAATTAAGAATATTTTTATTAAATTTTTGTTTATTTGTTTGATAATAGAGTAAATATAAATGGGAGTGACTTGTTTGGATGTATGAGTTTCTTGAATTTATCAAGAACATTGAATGTAAGAATTTCATCAAGTGCAAAAATGCTTGTGATGAGAGATGAGATTTCGTCATGTGTATTGGAAACGCAGAGAGAAATAGTACAGTTTCCTTGGTAATATTTGTTGATTGGAATGTCAATAATAACTTCTTTGAATGAATCATCTTCAATTTCGCGTTCCTTCTTCTTAGTGCAATTGTATAAGTTATCAGCTGTTAAGTTTGCTTCAATCGTTAACAGACCATTTCCTCTATAATCTCTTACTCTACATTGAATTCGAACAAAATTATCAATTTTTGAAATATTGTTTTCTGACTGAAATTCAATCTCCGGTCTATTAAATTTATATATGAAATAAAAATATGTTTGTTTAGACGATATACAATTATATTTGTCAATTGCAGAAATTATGATCCTTTTACCTCCTTCATTCAATGTATCTCCAAAATTAGGATTCACTTCTACAAGATAAGGAGCAATATTCGATGTATTTTTGATTATTGTTGATGGTTCAATAGAAACAACGCTAGTGACGGTATCTTCTGGATCTTCATCTGAAATATCATATTCAATAGAAAAGCTATCATTAACATAATGAATGAAGATTGGGGGATCATTTTCGTCATTCTCTGTGAGAAGATGAATAATTGGTTTGTGATAAATAAGAGAGAATGAATTTTCGAATGTGTCTGTAGTTAAGCCTGTAGCATTGAAGAAGTAATGAAGTTTGTGATCATTTGATATCAGACTTGATGGAAGATTGATACTTCGTTCAATGTGTTCATTATAATTCGTTCCATAAATATATTCTGTAATTTTGGAATCATAATTCTTATCGAAATAATAATTGAATGAATACAAAACATTCGAAGGAAATTCGATATCATAAACCAACTTCATTGAATTTTCTGTTGTCTTATAATATTCTTCTTTTTCAAGTTTATTATTTTCAATCTTTATTGGTGGTGGATTTGTGATATTAAATACATATGTTGGCTGGTAATATGGTAATCCTGTTAGTAATGTAAAAGAATAATTACCAGACTCAAGAAATGATATTGGAATTAAATATCCTTCATCATATGGATTAATTAGAAAAAATGGTTTTTCAAAATCAAAATAAACAGTTAAACGATATAAATCATACTCCTCCAAATCACAACGAAAATCCAATTCTTTTGTACCCCTAAAATTTGTTCGATTATAGGAAACGTTAGTAAATTCAGATAATGGCATCATAGCCCCCATTGAGCGGAACGCGAATTCTGCGGTCCTGTTTACTTCAAGGAAAGTTGGATAAAATATAATGTCTATCATATAACATTCGGTTTTATTTAAATAATTAATTTCATCAATTGCATTACAATCAATTTCAATGCTTTTTGTTCCATTCATCAATCCATAATTAGTCAAATATATATTTTCCTTTTTGGGAACAGTTACTTCAAATTTATACGCAATAAAATGAGGCACATGATCAGTATTAGTTACTGACAATGTATCTGTATAAGTATCAATATACATATGCGCAGGTTTAAGACTTTCATTTATAATTAAGTCATGTTTTCGAACTTCAAATGCAGGTTCTGAAGGAAGTTGAACAGTGTCATTATCGACTCTTAAAAATGATGTATATTTGACTTCATCCTCAGTATAGTAATTATAAAAATCTCTGATTGCGTGTGTCATTAGAAAGCTGAGCGAATGTTATAAATAGTGCACAAATATTGCAGTAATCAAAGATTGTTTTCAGAAAAGGGAAAAATTAGGAAAATTCCATAAATTGTGTCACTTTTTATAAGATCCGGTAAATATACTATCTTCGTTTTTAGATAAAGGTCATCTTCATAATCATACGCTCAAATGTTATATTATATATGTCTATTTGTTATCAAATATTATTGGACTATTTGATTTTTTTTTAAATTTTTATTACTTTGAAATTGAGGAAAAGATAAAAGGAGTAAATTTATTATAATGCTTGAATTTCTTGATTTCTGGAAGATCTTCAAGTGTAGGAATATCATCAAGTGTAAACTTGGATGTCATGAAATGTGATATTTCATCATGCTCATTTGACACGCAAATAGAAATAGAATAATTGCCTTCGTAAAATTGATTAATTGGAATATCAATATTGATATCATTAAATAAATCATCTTCAATGAAATATTCCTTTACATTAGTTGAAATGAAATCATCATTCGTAATGTTAGTTTCTATCTTTAGTACTCCACCTTTGCGGTAATATCTTACCCTGCATTTAATTCGGATAAAATTTCCGATTCTAGAGATATTACTTTCACTTTGAAATTCGATCTCTGGTTTATTATATTTGTATTCAAAATAAAAGGATTCGTTTTTTGATGCATTATTGCCATGCTCATCTACTGCATAAATTGTAACAAAAATTATTCCTTCATTTAATTCATCAAAGCTTGGAACTATTTGGAATTCATTTGAATATGGAGCAATTTTGGAAATGGTTTGGCAGATTGATGTTGATTCAATAGATGCAATAGAAGTTACATTGTCATTTAAATCATCATCCTCAATTTTAACTCTAATTCTAATCGTGTCATTGACAGAACGAATATAAATAGGAAGATTGGATCTGTCATTATCTGTGAGAAGATGAATAGTTGGTTTGTGATAAATAAGAGAGAAAGAATTTTCGAATGTTTCCGTAGTTAAGCCTGTGGCATTGAAGAAGTAATGAAGTTTGTGATCACTTGATGTGAAACTTGATGGAAGATCAATATTTCGTTCAATGTGTTCTGTATCATTTGTTCCATAAATATATTCTGTAAATTTGTCATCTTCATTATCATCGAAGTAATAATTGAGTGAATACAAAACATTTGAAGGAAATTCGATATCATAAATCAATTTCATTGAATTATCTGTTGTCTTATAATATTTTTCTTTCTCAAGCGTATTATTCTCAATCTTAATTGGCGGTGGATCAATGATATTTAGATTATGATTATCATAGTCTGATTTTAATAAACAAAATTTATAAGTACCTGATGGAAGAAAGGAAATTGGAATCAAATAGCCCTCATTTGTATTATTGATAATTACAAACGGTAATTCAAAATCAAAATATGCAATTGCTTGTAAAACCCTGTTAACAGTCCTATCAAAACTGAAATTTAAAACATTAGTTCCTCTAATTTGAGAGTCATTATATATGCATTCATAATAAACAGGATATGCATTATATTCATTGTTATATACAATTTCAAAATCAATGGATTTGTTAGTATCAACAATCTTAGGATAATAAATTAAATCAACAATATTATCTTCATTTCTCTTATAAGTACGAATTTCATCCATCTCAGACGAGCTAAAATAGATATTATATGTTCCATTTGTTAACTTTCTCGAATCCGGAACAAGATCAATATTATCTTTCTTAGGGAGAATTGCTTGAAACCTATATGCAAAAATATGGGATTCATTATCTAAATTCGTAACAGTTAATTTTTCTTCTCCCGGAATTTCCATTTTAATGGAGAGGTTATTTTGCTGAATACTAAAATTAAGTCCGGATGGTAGCTGTATAGTTGTATTATCAACTCTTAAGAATGAAATAAACTCAACTTCACTCTCTTCATAAAAAACAAAGAATTTACTAAAAAATTTCCCATACATTTGTTCTTCTGAAATTCTTTAAATTATTGCCGATGAATATTTATTAACATTCCTCGGTTCACTTGTATGTGAACCTAGGAAATTTTGTTCAGAAACATTATCGGAATTGTCACTTTTGGAATAATCTTTTTTTATTTTCACTTCACAACAATTGCTTATTAATAAATGGTTCATTCATATTTGTCTTGTTCTCAAGCAAGTTCTTGTATATCCAATGATTTGACATATTCATAAAGACGAAATATCCTAAAATAAAAGTTATTCAGGAGAATATTTTTATATTTCTGAATATCAGATGATACACTCTAGTTTCCAAATTTGATGCTTATATAACATCTTATTAGCTTCAATGGATAGAAATTTATTTAGTGACAAAATAAAAAGCAAAAAGATTGTAAAAAATCTTTTTTATTCTTTATTTCTTTGAAATAAGAATATAAAATAATGAAATGAGTTTGCGAGGATGTTTCAGTTTGTTAAGTTTATTATGTTTCTGGAATGTAGGAATATTATCGAGATTAAATGAACTTGTGATAGTTGTCGAATATTCATGATGTTCATTTGTTGCACAAATCGAAATGGTGTAATTGCCACCATATAATCGATTGATTGGAAGATCGATGTTCACAGTTCGGAATGTGTCATCATCAATATAAAATTCTTTAGTCTTCGTGTTGCTGTAGATAGAATTAGTAATGTTTGCATGAATCGTCAATAATCCATGACGATAATCTCGAACGATGACAGGAACTCGAATAAAATCATCAATTCGTGAGATGTTGTTTTCTGGTTGAAATTCAATCTCTGGTTTATCGTATTTGTAGATGAAAGAAAAATATTTTTTATCTGATGCAGAACAATTTTGTTCATCAACTGCTGAAATAGTGATCCATATATTTCCTTCACGCAAATCATATTCTTCGAGATTAATATTAACTGTTTCTCGATATGGAGCAATTTTAGAGAAAGATAAGTTAAGATGTGTTTCAATATTTACAATGCTTGTGACATTGTCATTAAGATCTTCATCTTCAATTTCGTATTCGATAGATAAACTATCATTGACATAACGATTGTAAATAGGAGGATTGTTGTTGTCATATGAAGTCAATAGATTAATGACTGGTTTGTGATAAAGAAGAGAGAATGAATTTTCAAATGTTTCTGTAGTTAAGCCTGTGGCATTGAAGAAGTAATGAAGTTTGTGATCACTTGATGTCAGACTTGATGGAAGATTGATACTTCGTTCAATGTGTTCATTATAATTCGTTCCATAAATATATTCTGTAATTTTGGAATCATAATTCTTATCGAAATAATAATTGAATGAATACAAAACATTCGAAGGAAATTCGATATCATAAATCAATTTCATTGAATTTTCTGTTGTCTTATAATAATTTTCTTTTTCAAGTTTATTATTTTCAATCTTAATTGGTGGCGGATCTGTGATATTTAACAATTTTATTCTATAAACTATATTTAATCTAGGAATTATATGAAAATCGTAGATACCTGTTGTTAGAAAGGAAATTGGAATTAAAATTTTGTCATTTGAACTAATGTAAATAAAAATTGGTTTTTCAAAATCAAAATAAATAATCATTTCTTGATCTGTTTGCAGTCTATAGTTAGCGATGCAATTTAATAATTTAGTCCCTCAATACTGATAATCATCACGGTTATAATAACTATGATTTTTAAGGGGTACTTTTATGGTAAATTTGGGGGTAATGAAACGGAAATAAGTGGATGAGTTAAGTTGCACAATCCTAGGACCATATATTAATTCTACAATATTGTTTTTGTTTCTCTTATAAATGTTAACTTCACTTATATACCCTGATGAAAATGAAATGTTATATGTTCCATTTGTTAACATATTTGAAACAATATCAATATTTTCTTTCTTAGGGAGAATGGCTTCGAATTTATATGCAAGAATATGTGATTCATTATCTAAATTTGTTACAGTTAAATTTGCATTTCCTGGAATATCCATAATAATGGAGAGATTATTTTGCTGAAGATCAAATTTAAGTTGGGAGGGTAGTTGTATAGTTGTATTATCAACTCTTAACTATGAAACGAAGTTAACTTCACTCTCTTTATAAAAAATAAAAAATTTGTTAAAGTAATTTCCATACATTCGTTATTTCTAAGTACTTTATATTACTGTAAACAATTATCGGTAAACACGGGTTAGCTCAACGTCAGCTGAACCATGAAAATCTTGAAAATAAACTGTGTTGTAACGCAGTTTAGAAATGTGATTGTCACTTTTAGTATGATCCGAAATCTAAATTTCACAAATTGAAAATGATAGACTAGTATTAATATATATTGTAGTGTAATAAACAGAAATTCATCAAAAGTGACAGCTCTCAATTTTTTGACATTTGTAAATTCTAAATTGAATGAGAAAAATGAAATAATACTAAGCATCATACAATATTCTAGATTTAATTATAATTAGGAAAAAGTTAGTTTTGAGAGTACTTTTCATAGGCATATAGAATGAAATCTTCTGAAAAATAATATCACATAAACTCATATTATTTTCTAATATATAACTATTTTATATAAAAATCAAATTCAATGATCTTAAAAGCGAAGGATAAACCTCAAAATTTACGAATATAATGAGTGGGAATATAATGCTTATCTATCATAAAAATATGAAATATCAATTTTTGCTTTACGCCTAATTTTTGACGACAATTAGCAAAAAATGTTAAATGTTAACACTCAGTCCACTTGAATATGAAAAATAAAATTGACTTTGATTAAATGTTTTTATTTATCATGCAATTCTTCTTGCGACCAAAGATTTGAATAAAATTTCAAAAAATAAGATAGCTTAAAAAATAATATACGGTAGTGTTTACTAATAGATGAATAGTATATAAATTCTATTAAAATGGATTTGATCCAAAAAAATATATAAAATTTGATCATAAATAAAATCGTTTTAAATTACTTCTTCATTTAGGTCAGGTGAATGGGGCTTCCAGGCGCGTTGCACCCTCTAGCCCATAAGAAATTTTGCCCAAGACCCAAGAGGAGGACCGAACCCCAGCCGACCAGCCGGTGACAAAACCAAAACCGTTGTTATTTACATCATATTAATAGTGTCACTTTTTAAAATATCACTTTTTGTGTCGCTTTTCACAAATTATATAAGTTTTCATGTTTTGTCACTTTTCTGTCACTTTTCGGGTAAAAACATTTTTATTATTATATATAAATGAATTTTACAAAACCACCGTTACCATTCTTTGGAAATAAGAGTAGATGTAAAGATATTATATTGAGAGAACTTAAGAAACTACCGAATGGTCTAACATTTGTAGATTTGTTCGGTGGAAGTTTCTATATATCCCATTTATGTCATACAATATTCCCAGACTCAAAGATTATATGCAATGACTTCGACAACTATATGGACCGTCTCAAACATATTCCAGACACAAACAATATATTGAAAGAGTTAAAAGAAAAGATACCTATAGGTAAGATGGAACGTATACCATTAGATAAGAAAAATATTGTGAGAGAGGTTTTGAAAAAAGCAGAATATATAGACTGGGATAGTATATCTGCTAGACTATTATATAGTGGTGCTATAAGAGTTCATGACATTGAAACACTTATGTCAAAAGTTTTTATCTTAACTATACAAATGTTTTCAAAGAGAACATAGAAAAATATATTGAGGGTATAGAGTTTGTGAGATGTCATTGGACAGAGTTGTATGAAAAATATAAAGACAAGGAAAATGTTTTCTTTATAGTGGACCACCGTTCTATAACACATGGGATTTTCAATACCAAGTAGACTGGACTTTGAGAGACTCTTTAGAAACTTTAGACGTTATACATAACCATCCATGCTTTTACTTTACATCCGATAAAAGTGGTTTGGAAACCGTTATGAGATGGTTAGAGGACATACATGACTATGAGTTTATATATGACAAGATAGAATATGAGAGAGGTCCTATAAACTGGAGAAAGTGTCACAATAAAGAAATTTTATTAGTAAGTAAATGTGGTTTGAAATAGGACTACTTGTTTTAGGTTTTTTCCATTGTGTCATTTATTTATTTGACGTGGCAGAAAAGTACAGAGAATATGAAGATGAACCAATGCCTGCAAATGTTCAGCATATGTACTCGTAAGAGATATTTTTATCTAATATTAAATGGACGCACAGAACTTAGCGAATGCACAGCAACCTGGACAACCAAACCCAGAGAATATTCCAAATGAAGTTAGAATACAAACTGCAATGGCAAACTATGGTCAAGTGCCAACAGATGTACAAATGCAAACTGCCATGTCAAATGACGCTGCGTTAGGTTTGCCACCATGGTATGCAAATATGAGATGGAAAGAGTTTTATATACAAACCCTGAAGTGGGATATAAACAACTTTATGCAGATGACGCGAACACAGGAGTTGACCCAGAATATGTTTTCTACCAGAGGAGAAACAGAATGTATGAGCTCCAGTTAAAGAATGCTATGGAACTCAACAGGAAACGTAAGAGACTAGGCGGACATTAGATTTTTACACGTAGTAAATGGGTTTCTTTGGAAGAATAGGAAACTTCTTTCGAAATGTTGGAAGAGGTATATGGAATGGAATAAAATGTCGGAAGAGGAGTATGGAACGGTGTCAAAATATTGGTAAAAGAGTAGGTCAGTTCGTTGGTATTATACCTAAAGACCCTGAACCAGAAGAGCAAGCTCCTGTTATACAACAGCCTGAACCTGCACCACAGTCTAGTTGGCAACACCAACACCTCAACCGTATTAAAAAATTATATTTTTACCGTTCGATAGTAGTTGTATATGAAACTAAGTTCTAAGTAAAACGCGTGGTATAATGGAATTATTCTTTTTCTTCCATCTGTAGTAAACCATACTTGAAAGTCTGAAATACTTCCACTTGGTGGTTCGTATAACTTTGTAGGTTTTTCGTAAAAGTCATTTGCCAAGCATCAGAAAGAGTTTTGGGCGCCAGAAAATGAAGCATGAACTATCACAGCATCTTGGTCGAAAACATCTTTAAATAAATATGGTTCATCTCTTGCATATCGACTGTAGATATTTGCTAAAGGAGGTTCAACTTTCTGATTTAACATTCTTTGCAAATAATACCATGACATTGCAGTGAATTCTGTATATATTTGTTCGTCTTTATTTGGATTGTCTTCGTAGATTTGAAATGACACTTGTGAATTTTGTTTGTCATATACAATTCTCATAAAGTGTGCTATCGGTATTCGCATATTCATCAGCATATTTTGCATAACATGAATTTATTTTATCTTCTATATTTTTTAATGCAGTCTGTAGAGAAGATGAGAGGTCAACTTGTATTAGCTCAATTTCTTCCCAATTTTTCGTTGCCCTTCAGATGTATAATCTATATGAAACCTTACAATAAATGGAAAACTTTTATCTTCTACAGACACAAACTTTATCTTCGAAAGCCAATAGCTTTTGTGACAGATGGGTCTCTTAACCATCTTAATGGGTAGTCAAAACGATAGCCTTCATGCTTTACGGTATCTGTCTCAAACTTTTGACGACATTAGTAAAAAGTTCATCTAATGGTTTAGTTGTAGCAACTCTAGAATTTTCTTTTTCTATTGGAAGCATATTTTATCTATAATAAAAATGTCAAATGAAACAGCGTCTATGAGGAAATACAACACAACCGACAACTCATTATGCAAGCTCTAAATAAGAACACAACAAACTTTTCAAACTATTCTAAGATATCTGAGTCATTGAAAGAAGGAAACTTAAAACTGACAATAAACCCAATGACAGATGAGTTTCTGTTTCAAGACAATAAGAACCATACTGTCTGTATAAATCCAACAAAAGGAACTTTAAACGAGAAACCTATAAATGAACTTCTTTTGAAAGCAGATGTTGACAACAAAAGCTGACAAAGAATATGTAGACGATGCAATAGCAAAGAAGAAGAAAGAGCTAACAATGCTTATGCAACAAAAGAACATACTCATCCTGAACTAGCAGACAAAATATGTTGACAATAAAATGTCAAGTGAAGTGAAAGAGCTGAAAACGAATATTCTAAAAAGACTCATATACATTATATTAACCAAATACCAAGTCTTAAGGAAACATTAGAGACAAAAGCAGATAAGACTCATACACATTCTATATCTGATATTACAAACTTACAAGAAACCTTAAACACGAAAAGTGACGTTGGACATACACATTCTATATCTGATATTACAAACTTACAAGAAACCTTAAACACGAAAAGTGACGTTGGACATACACATTCTATATCTGATATTACAAACTTAAACGTTAGCCTTGAAAATAA